TACCACTTCTTTGTAACAATACCTTCCATCTTATATTCTGTACGTTTTAAAACTTATCCAAGGTTTTGTTTACTCTCCTGATTTTTATAATCAGTTTTTATTTATTTGTTTTTATCAACTGTTTTATCGCCTTTTTGCTGATTATGGAGTCGAAATAAACTTATCTTATCTCTTCTCTCAATATGTCCACGCATCTGAAACAAATAACTACACAACGGCTTACGGCTTCCACTACCATCAAGTCCATGCTTCCAAAAACAAGTAACCAACTGATTCCATACGCGACATGGAATGGCAACCGTACGAGAGGCCGTGGTTCGCCATATGGTTAAGCCGTCTTATCGGCTTTCCCCTCCCCGGGATAAATATGTAAATCCTATCCTATGAACCTTTCCCCGACCTCTGACCCCCGAAAAATTCTTCCTATACTTTACCATTGCAAAATTTTGGGGGCTATTTTAAGAGTGGTTGTGCGAGTTGGCGCCTGTAAAATTGGGTATGTGTTTTGAACCATCATTATGATTCATCGCATATAACAATCTGTTTTTTAAAAGTACTGATAAAGAATTTTAGCTTAGGGTATCACAACTATTTCTACACTATTTTTTTATTACTGCAATTAAATTAAAACTCCTAGGAAGACAGAGTGATCATTGAATTATCTGATTTATATTTAAGTTTCCGAAACACAACTGAAAACTAACGAATAGAATTCAAAAACGCGAAAACGAGGTAATGTTTACGACCACACTTGAAAATCTGTCTTCTGAGTGAGAAAAGTGTCTGAGCGGATGCGAAAAGGGGGCATTGTTACGTCACTTTTTGCATGTAGCTGATTGGCCAATGTCACGAGGTAAACAAGGAAGTCGGTGCTCGGTGAAAGGTCCATACCATACGCATATGAAGACATGTTAACGACTCCCATCACCACTGCAACCATGACGAAATACGTTTTGCTTATTCATACTTTCACAATTACATGATTCAGCCAGAGCGCCACTGCTGTTGGTCGTTCGTTTCAGTTCTTGTTCAAGTTTTCGTTCCTGTTTCTTTTCGTTTTGAGTTAATTTGGGAAAGTTTCACTATTAGTAAGGATAAGATAGAACAAATGGCAATCTGTAGACTTCTTAAGACTTGACCTTGGATGAGATACCGTAATTCAGTAATTGTTTTCTGAGGCAGAATGGTGATCTTCAAATTGTGCTTCATGATTTATTGCGCGGTGCTGGGATGCCAATTTCTGGATTTATCAGTTTGCAGGTTTGTGGCGACTGTCTCGCCAGACTGTCTTGTAAAGGAAAGGTTTGTATTCACAGTTATAAATAAGCCGCATTTAATTGTTAATAGGTCTGGGTTTTGGCATGCTTGTGAAAAGCTAAAAAGTGTGTAGTCTATTAGATAGATAGGATAAGTTAGATAGATAGATTGGAATTCCGCTACCCCCCTATTCTCCCTCCTTTAAATGTTGAAACGCGAAACTTTAAAGATGGTTAAAAGAAACACAACTCTACCCACCTGCCAAGTTTCATCTTTTTATCTCTCATATTTGTATAGATTTTCAAGCTTTTTTGAAGGGACAATGGGTAGTTGGCGACATGACAAAATGGTCCGTTTTTTTCTTTGGGTGGGTTTTCGGTCGTAACTTTTTTGTTTGTGGCTGCATTTTAGTGTAATTTCACAGAGCTATGAGGAATGAATGAACGAAAATGTGTGAGAAATATCGTCGCGGTTCGTTAATTTTTTTGGTATTAAATTAATCGATGAAGTTGATGGCCGTAGGGTGGGTAAGCCACCCTAATTATTTTTTCTTGAAAAAACGGAAATATTGCCGAAAAATGACTGCCCGCTATTCAACGGCACAGAGCGTCGCTCCTACTCAAGCTAGCTATCGTCGTCAAAATACCATCATCCGGTAGAGGGCAATAACAATGTATATAATTTATCAGAGTGATCGCAAGATGTCATACGAGATTTAAATAAAACGTAAAATTCTGAATTGTAAATTTCGTAAAATTATTGAGATTTCACGCTGCGTCAAAAGTTACGTTCACCTCACGTAGTATCATTTTTTGCTCACTTCCGACACGACGTCACACTGCCTCGCGGAAACGAATCTTGACGCCCGACGCAACGGTGCCAAATTAGCAATTTCCGTTTAAGGTAAAGATGTATTCCAGTGTAATATTCCTGTATTTTGTTCGGTCCATGTGTGAACATATGCCAAAATCACATTACGACAATACGTTTCTTACGTAACCAATGTCGTCAAGATTCGAAAATATAAAATTAGAGAAATGCATTGTCCATGTGGCACTGTATACTGACGAAAACAACTATTTTACGCTTTGAAGTCAAAATCGATAGTTATTAGATACACCCGTGTGGAGAATTCATTTTATTCCGAACCAAAATCACTGTACCTATCTCAATGTTATTTAGCGAAATTGAATTGAAGATTAAACGTGACAATTGATTTCACGTTAGTTTGATGAAAAATTAATTACTTATAAAGATAACAGCGTAACATCAACAAAGCCATCTGTTGGGAATATTAATGTTTCAAAGACTTACAAGCCGGTTAAAATGTTTCATTGTAGACCGAAACGGTTTGCATTAGATTTATTTGCGTATGTTAATTCTTATTAGAATGGCCAACGTGTTATTATACTGATATGACGTAACTAAAATATCAAATAAATGCAACAAGGTAAACATAGGACGATGGAAATTTCAAATAATGCATTTTTGCCACGACGTTTCGATGTTACGTTACGACGCCGATCGAGCGTCTTATCTTCACGCAACGACGTGATTACGTTATCCGCGTCGAAGGACTCTTCTCTCTGTGCGTCGCAGTTACGCAGTGAGGAAAATGGCTGTCCGAAGTTAGGGCAGTGAAGGATAATGGTCAGATGACAAGAAAAACGATTATTTCAATAGTAAAAATATTCCTATGGGCACGAAATTTGCAGGGAATGTAACTTACCGCATCAATGTTTTACCGAGCACTGTTTTATTTTGGCGCAATTTGGACAATAAATGATTTGAGTTATTGATGAAAATATGGTAATTTTGTCCGAAGTTAGGCGCTTTTACGGTACATTCCGCTTTAGGCGGGACAGTCCCGCTTTTTAGCGTCTTGTCGCGACACGTCAGCCAAAATCCATCCGCTTTCAGCCATCCAGCATAATACACAAACATATTCTCGTTACTGTTGTTGCTGTGTAGTGAACGCTAGCCTATACTTACTGAAAGTGAATGCGGTATTTTGTTTGTTTCGTTGTTTTCCGCTAACATTGTTAGCGAACGTATCACATGTAAAATCAATTCTAATTGGTCCTGTTCGGACTCTAAACTATGACGGTAAACTCGGTGTACGAACGCTAATAAAAACCATTTTCAGGAAAACACTAATCACACGTGAACAGGTCTGTAGCCTAATTGATATATCGACAAGGCCAGCATTGTTGGGCGGCAGTGTTGCTCATCGCGCTAAGCTTTGGGAATACGCTCACTACCGCCTCTCTAATTACCCTACGTGGGTTCGCAGGTTCGAATCCCATGAAGGGATGGTTATGTGCGAGAGGATTGCTGGACTCCTCGCTGTCGTAGGGTGGTTCACGTAACCGCTGGTCGGTTACGGCTTCCTCCACTATCAAGTCCATGCTTCCGAAAACAAGTAACTAATCCCATACCTGACATGGAATGGTAACCGGACAAGAGGCCGTGGTTCGCCATATAGATAAGCCGTCTTATCGACTTTCCTCTCCCCGGGATAAATATGTAAACTTTATCCTTATCCTTATTGTTAAAACAGTATATACACAAAGGGAACAAAACAAAAATATGCCATCAAATGAATGTTCAAAAACGTTGAGCATTGATATGGTCACATCAATTTACATTAAAAACTATTTACGCATATATAGTTGAATTCTCATTTAGTATTCAAGTAGAATTTCTAGCACAGTACAGCACCCTATCCAAATTTCAAGAATTTCCCTCCAATTGGCTCAATAAACCAAACACTCTATGTGTCTCACAAACAAGGGGTGTCTGGGGCCACGTCAGATGTGTCATATCACACCATGCTTGTCTCAATAATAATCTAAATTAATCGCGGCAGTCACATGACCAAAATTGCCGTTTTTTGCTAAAAACTCTCGAATGCTACGCTAAAAAATTTTTTCTTTGATAAATCGGATTATTTTTCCCCAAGAAATTCAATGATGACGTTACTGAATTGCGCTTTTTTGTAGTATTTTGCGCAACTTCATTATACTGTATTATTACCGATATTGAGGGACAACAATGTCCAGACGTCTCCCAAAGTAGGGGTGTCTGATCATCTGTAAAATGGGTTTCTCTGAAACGTGACAATGTCACCCGATTTGTATAGTGTGCCGTACTGTAGTAATAGCATTTGCAGTATCTGCTGACAGTCGCATTCCACTCCCATAGATTTCCTCATATTCTTGATTTATTATCTTCCGATTCTGTTATGATGTCTGTATGTTGCCTTAATGCTACAATGTCCTTTTCGTATTTCAGTATTTACATGTTGATATTTCTTCAGTGCTGGTTCATTTCAGTCCTTCTGCACCGCTGAAAAATGCGACTGCACTCGATGACTGCCAGACGTGTAGAGATGGTAAAATGATTTAATTACATTTACAGATTAAAAAACTTAATCGAATAGCGAATAATGTATAATAACGAGAATATCGGTCGGAGACCGAAGACTTATCGATCTTAGATCGGTAATTAGTTAATAACTCGCTAATTATACGACATAATTAACCCAAAATCGATAGGCGTCTGGTCCGAGGTAAGGTGCATGCACATGCAAAATTTGGAGCAGATTCAACCACGCGTTCGTGAGATATCGCGTTCATCTAACAGACACACACACACACACACACACAGACATACAAATACCTATCAATATACTTACCGATCTTAAGATCGATAAGTAATAATATATAAGTCTGTATGTAATTTTTCAATAACAGTTCAATTTTTCTAGTGTTATAATAATTTATAAAGTAAAGTAAATAACAATAAAAATGCCAGACTATTTGGGAGATGACCAACGCAGAGTCCGTGACGATGAAAATAAGGACGAGAAACCGATCCAAGCTCTGGATGAAGGAGATATCGCACTTCTGAAGACGTACGGACAAGGTCCGTATGCAAAGCAAATTAAACAAGTTGAAGATGACATTATAGCAATTACGAAACGTGTTAATGAGCTCACAGGAATTAAAGAATCGGATACTGGACTCGCCCCACCGGCTTTGTGGGATCTTGCCGCGGATAAACAAACGTTGCATAGTGAACAACCATTGCAAGTTGCCCGATGTACGAAAATTATTGATGCTGACACAGATAACGCGAAGTATATCATCAATGTAAAGCAATTTGCGAAGTTCGTCGTCGACCTTGGGGATCAGGTCGCTCCGACTGATATAGAAGAAGGCATGAGAGTGGGGGTAGATAGAAATAAATACCAAATTCATATCCCGTTACCCCCTAAAATAGACCCCACTGTCACCATGATGCAGGTTGAAGAAAAACCAGATGTAACATATTCGGATGTTGGAGGCTGCAAGGAGCAAATTCAGAAGTTACGTGAAGTAGTGGAAACTCCTCTGTTGCACCCTGAACGTTTCGTTACACTTGGAATAGATCCTCCAAAGGGGGTTCTTCTTTTTGGACCCCCAGGAACAGGGAAAACGCTCTGCGCGAGAGCAGTTGCTAATCGTACGGATGCCTGTTTTATTCGTGTTATTGGTTCGGAGTTGGTACAGAAGTATGTCGGGGAAGGAGCCAGAATGGTTCGTGAATTATTTGAAATGGCTCGTACTAAGAAAGCATGTTTAATTTTCTTTGATGAAATTGATGCCATAGGTGGCGCTAGATTCGACGACGGAGCTGGCGGGGATAATGAAGTTCAACGTACAATGTTGGAGCTCATCAACCAATTGGATGGATTTGACCCGCGTGGAAATATCAAGGTACTAATGGCAACGAATCGGCCTGACACTTTAGACCCAGCGCTGATGCGTCCAGGCAGAATGGACAGAAAAGTAGAATTTGGGTTGCCAGATCTTGAAGGCAGAACCCACATTTTTAAAATCCATGCTCGGAGTATGAGTGTCGAGCGTGACATTCGATACGAGCTTTTGGCTCGTTTGTGCCCAAACAGCACTGGCGCTGAAATTCGCAGCGTTTGCACTGAGGCTGGAATGTACGCTATTCGTGCTCGAAGAAAAGTTGCAACGGAAAAAGATTTTCTGGAAGCTGTCAACAAAGTGATTAAGTCGTATGCAAAGTTCAGCTCAACACCAAGATATATGACCTACAACTAACTGTGGAATTATGTAATATGGACTGCTGACTATACTGGATTATACAAAACAATTGAGCTTTTCGAAGAAAAATAAACTATCTCTCTTTATTTTTCACTTCACATTGAAAATATTATTAATGGGTAAAATTTAGCATTGCCCATTTTTGAAAAAATATTATCTCAGTTTCCAGCGGGCCATATTGGGATAGTAACGTTAATTAACCATTTAGGTGACAGGTATTTTTACTTTCTGGAAGTGTGAGATTACCATTAACACATTCTTAGTCTATCTCTATTTCTGACGAGGCGATATCATTTGAGGCCTGGGGATTAGCTAGGTTGTGATAGTCTGGAGGGCTGTATAAAGTAGGAATGTTCAGAACAGTGGTTCCCAACCTTTTATGGCTTGTGGCCCCCTTCTGTGGGCTTTTAGCACTCATGCCCACCTGTTTATTGTTCCAGTGGTATTTATAGTGTTATTTTGATTGGTATATTTCAAATTCCATTCTGTTTAAATAATTGATGCTCAACAAATTGAACATACTCTGTGAAATAATGTTATCAAGCAATGAAAGAACGAGTTTTGCGGTAGAAGAAAAAGTAAAATCAGTTATGGGTCTAGCCTGGTGGCCCCCATCCAACTGCTCTCTTGCCCCTTTAGTGGGCTCGTCAGGTTAAAAAAAGAAACACCCTCTTAGTCTCTAAGCAATACTGCCCCTATTATTTGTTGAATTGCAAGATTATGTTGGTATTGAGGGCTGCTTTCTAAAAGTAGGAATGTTGTGATTCACATTGTTACATTACTATTTTAACAGTTATTTAATAACATGAGCGTGTTTTAGATTTGGCTGGCAATGTTAATATTATTTTCACATCAGTGATGATATTCTGTATCTGAACTATTGATGAATTTCTTACAAGACCTGTGTAACAGTTTGATTTAGTGGATTTCTCTATTTCTCGAAGTTTGAAACAATATCCATCAAATTATTTCAATAAAAAGTTTGAGTAGTTCAAATAAAAGTCAAAAATTTGTGTTTCCTTATTTCCTAAAAACATATTTTTCAAGTCTTTTTGGATTGAAGGCTGAAGCCCTCGATTTACTTATAATGTTCCGCTTGCGCCAAGTTTAACAACAGTGACGCGCTAATACCTATAGGCCCTGGAATTTCATTTTCATTTCTGTTATTATTTGGTATTTAAAAGATGAAGGATCTTGTTTTTACTTCTTGCAATTTGTTCATTTATATCAGTGGTTCCCAAATCGCAGTCCGTGGGCTAATTACGGCCAGCATAACAATTTAACATGACCCGCTAAACTTGAGTAAAATAGTTCCACACTCTACGTTTTTACCCTTTTGTGTTTTTTTTTGCGAGCTTGTGTATATTCGTAACAATTTAATTATATCGGTATCTTGGTTGTACATACTGGTATTGGGATTACATACATGTCTCACACTTGCTCTCTCCAGGCCCACAATATCCTTCCGCTTCTAATTTTGGCCTCCTGTCAATCAACTTTGGGAACAACCACTGATTTATATGTTTCATTTATGACAATCCTGGAATTTTTGATTTTCTGTGCATGACCTATTGGTGTATAAACTTAAGCACGGGCCATGTTAAATCAATATGTATTTGTATGAATCCATTTGGTCACCTATTTGATGCTTTGTTTTGTATTATTAGTGGCTGCTACTGGGCCTTCGGCTGCTTGTACTCAGGTTGGATTAGGTAGAATATAAAGTGAAGTAGCTACTCCAAAAATCCTTCAAGGATACAGCCTACATTTGGAAATCGGATTCGAAAATTCTGGATAATCATTTAGAGCTAAATCAAAGCCAACGTCTACCTTCCCAATAAAAAACTCTGGACACTTGAGGCAGCAGTGATGCCTTCAACGGACTCAAGTCAGCAGATACCAGCGTCATCTCAAACTCCGATGGATGTAGATCCAGAGATTGACATCAAGTGAGTTTTGGACAAAAAATGGCGGTTAAATTATATTACCTTGTGTCAGTTGTGTGTGAATATTTTGGACAATAAATGTTCACCTCTTTGCTTAACAATGACAGCACAACGACCGGGCAACGAAGAATCTACAGAAAACATCACATAAATATGTTCCACATTTAAAAATAGGCCTATCGTTTTGGAATAGATTTGGCCATCTGTGCTTCTGTGGTTATTACTAATAATAATTTTCATTTTTTAAAGTACTCTACCCCCCTGCTTCTCTCTCTCTATAACTAAATTTTTAACTTTTTTTTAGGGGTGCAGAAGTGAAGAAAGCTGAGGGAAATGAGTTTTACAAGAAAAAAAATTATCGAGAAGCCGTTAGACTTTACTCTGAGGCGATTGGTAAGATTTGTGTTGAACAGTCTGCCCACTAGGGGTGCTCAAAATTCAGCTTAACGTAGAATTTTTAAAGTCGGTGGTTACCAACATTTTTCAATACATTCCTCCTTTTGCCTATATTGGATCTCTGGGACTCCCGAAGTATGCGAACCCAGATGGCGGACATCGGAATGTAATATGTGTACTAGGTTAGGGTTAGGCCATAATTTTAGGTATAAATACTACGAGAGGCTCTTGGCTAGTCTTCGAACTGATAATAGGACTAAAATAAGGAAAATTGGAAAAAAATTATCGCCTAACCCTAACCTGTTACCCATGTTACGTTCCGATGACCGCCATCTTGGTTCGCATACTTCGGGAGCACCGGATCTCTTTTATTCCTCTCTCACTATGCATTGAAGCCCTGTTTCCTTTATTTGATAAATTTTTAATGCATCTCTAGTTAGTGATACGCACAACTCTCAATCTGACTTTTGTACAGTTTGAATGGTCTATAATGTGAACATATTTACCGGTACATGACTTACAATAATACTAAATAACTATAATATTAGACCACCGAATTCATGGGATATATCTGTAATTCCAATCCTCTCTCTGGTTTGAAGTTATTGATAATTGAAAAAAATGTCAAGTGCTTGGAAAACCAAATTATTTTCGAAATTATTATTTTAAAAGGTTACTATCCATAATTTTGAATGTATTTTAAGGAGGCCATTTCCACCACATTTCTTCTCTAAACAAGCCAGAGACAACTGGTTACTAATTTTAAAACGACTGAAACCTTTCTCGTTTCGCATTGCCAGCCAAATGCTAACATGGCTATATTTTTCATTAAAGCCATTGTCAATTCTATAAATTTGAAATTTAAATTATAGTGTTACGATCATATTTTTAATGTGACATTGTCCCTACTTTACTGAGAAGTCACTGAAACTATCAGAATCCTTCACGCTCAGTTTGTAGCACCTTGTGTGAGACAATGGGCACGGGAAACAAACCCATGGGTCTACCAAAATATCTAATTCCAATTCTTCGATCACTCTCGAGAATATTCAATCTAATCTGGAGATTCCTGCTCACAATTCTCCATCTTGTTATTCTCAGATCTAAATCCAAAAAATGCTGCCTTCTACGGGAATAGATCAGCAGCCTATATGATGGATTCCAATTATAAAAGAGCTCTTGAAGATGCCCAGACCAGTGTCAGACTTGACCCACACTTTGCTAAGGTCAGATTGTTAGAACATATTTTGACATATTTCTTCGAGTGAAAAACCACCAAAAACGTGCAGAATCCTTGCAAAAACGCGGAAAACAGTGAAAGTCCACCAAAAACCTTGCATGATATGTGTAACACGCACTTGTTTTTGTACCGTTTGAATAATTTGTGCGCTCCTAAATACAGGTATTAAAATAATACTAAATACTATGGCCCGACCGATACTGCCTTTTTAAACTGATACCGATGGTTTTCTAAAACTAGGCTGATAAGCCGATACCGATGTTTTCCTGCGTATTTTTGACACTTGGCAGTCACTTGATTGACTGATAACTATCGGTAAATTTAGCCGATACCGATAGTTCGAAATTTGGGAAAAACAAGGCCGATATATCAGTTCAGGTTGGGTATGGAAAATGCTGCAGTTAGATATCATTTTGTAAATTTATACTCGGGGAGAGGAATGCTATCAAGATACGTGAATTCGCAAATGTTCGGTCTTTCCAAATAACAAGTAACAATTTATAATTCATTGGGTAGATGTAGAACTCGGGACAATCATTGTATAGAAAAATATTCAAGTAATGACAAAACTTTTATAAGACAATTTATAGGTGCTTCATAAATAAGAACATACAATTTTCTTTTTTTTTTAGGGTTATCTTCGTGAAGGCAAATGTCATATTGCACTTGGCAATTCCAAAGCAGCTCTTCTCTCGTTACAAAAAGCCAAAGATCTCGATCCAAGTGCCGGAGCTATAATGCAAGAGGTGGGTTGCCCAGTCTGTCTTGTCCCTCTAATGCATGTTTTTTTGTATTGTGGATGCCACGGATGGTCAATTCCGAATATGAAATTGAGTATATTCTAATAAAGAAAGCAATGCTCGAATATATGGACATCAAGGCCAAAATAAAGTAGTACGGGAACGCAATCTCTCGGCTTCACCTGACCATGCGTACACGGAACCGCCATGGGGTGCACAATTTTTTATTTTGATGATGACATCGCACACAGAAAATGAATCCCATAGATCCTACAGAAATTTTTGTAATGAATGAAAGTAACAGACACTTGCGTAATACTGAAATATACAAACTTAATCACTTAAAATTTCAAAGCAATTGATCCAATACTCAGTGAGGAAAGCGATACTTTGCTTGTGCGCGTTATTTTATATTATGAATAGAATACCATACTCTGCATAGTGGGCATTTTTATTTTACCAGTAAGGAATTTGGTATTTGGTTGTATTACGGCACGGGTAAGCAAACTTAATCCTAATTTTTCCAATAGACAAAATTATATAATTACATTATTTGGTTGTATTAAGATGGGGGGTGTTTGGTTGTATTAAGATAGGATGGTATTTGGTTGTATTAAGATAGGAAGATATTTGGTTGTATTAAGATGGGAAAATGTTTGGTTGTATTAAGATGACAGGTGTCTTTGGTTGAATTAAGATGGGAGGGTATTTGGTTGTATTAAGATGGCAGACGTCTTTGGTTGTATTAAGATGGGAGGGTGTTTGGTTGTATTAAGAAGGCAGGTGTCTTTGATTGAATTAAGATGGGAGGGTGTTTGGTTGTATTAAGATGGCAGGTGTCTTTGGTTGTATTAAGATGGGAGGGTATTTGGTTGTATTAAGATGGGAGGGTTTTTGGTTGTATTAAGATGGGAAAGTATTGAGTTGTATTAAGATGGCAGGTGTCTTTGGTTGTATTAAGATGGGAAAGTATTGAGTTGTATTAAGATGGCAGGTGTCTTTGGTTGTATTAAGATGGGAGGGTGTTTGGTTGTATTAAGATGGGAGGGTATTGGGTTGTATTAAGATGGCAGGTGTCTTTGGTTGTATTAAGATGGGAGGGTGTTTGGTTGTATTAAGAAGGCAGGTGTCTTTGGTTGTATTAAGATGGGTGCGTGTTTGGTTGTATTAAGAAGGCAGGTGTCTTTGGTTGTATTAAGATGGGAGGGTGTTTGGTTGTATTAAGAAGGCAAGTGTCTTTGGTTGTATTAAGATGGGAGGGTATTGAGTTGTATTAAGATGGCAGGTGTCTTTGGTTGTATTAAGATGGGCGGGTATTTGGTTGTATTAAGATAGGAGGGTATTTGGTTGTATTAAGATGACAGGTGTCTTTGATTGAATTAAGATGGGAGGGTATTTGGTTGTATTAAGATGGCAAGTGTCTTTGGTTGTATTAAGATGGGAGGGTATTTGGTTGTATTAAGAAGGGAGGGTATTGAGTTGTATTAAGATGGGAAGGTATTTGGTTGTGTTAAGATGGCAGGTGTCTTTGGTTGTATTAAGATAGAAAGATGTTTGGTTGTATTTAGACGGCTTCGAGTTTGGAACTTAAGTTGTACGGAAGAGTTTCTTTCTGATTTGTGTTGTACTGCATGTGGTTAGCATGAAGAGTGAGGTTTTGTCAAATGCTTGAAAGACTTGCTCCTCCCAATATTGTGCCTAACTTAACATTGCCTACTCCAGTACCAAGAATGGGAGAGTGCATTGCCGCCATCTAGCGGAGAAATCCTAGCCGAAATGAAAGAGTTGGCATCGGAAGGAATGGACAAAATAATGCAGGCTATAGGAAAAGAGATTGAGAGAGACTTCAGGTGAGAATGCAACATGGATCCATTCCTTATTCAAAACAATTTTTTTAAAATGTATCAGTATAGGAGAGATAGCTTGATAATATAATGAGGTATCTCATCTGGTTATTGTTAAATGTCTTATCTTGCTATCTACCCTATATAACCTAATCTACCCTTCTTATCTCACATTACCTGACTTATCTATATATGCTATCTGATTCACATTGTTTATCCTGTGTATATCTAACACTTTTATTTCATCTATACTACATCTACATATATCACCTATAATACCTTATCTATCCACCTATCTCACACGGCAAAAAGGTTCTCAACTTGATATTCTTACAGAGAACGGTCAGAACGAGAAGCGCGAGGTAAATTGCCAGTTGGTGAAGTAAAGAGTAGAAGTAAATGGATCAGATGCAGAGATGGAAAGTATAGGAGCTATGAGGAGATACAGAAGATAAAAGAGAGCATTGTTGCATGACCTGGGATCTGAGAGAGTGTTGATATGTGACCTGCGAATATGAGAGAACATTGATGTGTGACATGTGAATATGAGAGAGAGCATTGATGCGTGGCTTATGCGTATGAAATTAAATTGTTGCGTGACTTATGCGTATGAGATTACATTGATGTGTGCGTGACCTGTGTGAATGACAGAACATTGATGCATGACCCGTGAATATGACAGAACTTTGATGCTTAACTTGAGAATACGAGGCACCATTATTAATGTGTGACCTGAGTATATGAGAGAACATTCATAAAGGAATTAATGAATATTGGAGATTTGTCTGTGAATTCCGCCTTATATCATGTTTTTTCTATAAACTATAGAATATTCGAGTTCAAATAAATTGCAAAACATAAATACTGGATACCAAAGTATTATTTGGATATCGATTTGCGATCAATGTACATCATATATATTGTTGAATTTGTTTTAAAGATTTTAGTTGTTATTTTGTTATGCATGACTCCTTTATTTGTTGATACCACACTGTTATAAACAGAATTTTTGCTTATTTGACAAGCGAATAAAATCATAATGTTATAACTGGTTCTTCTTTCATGTTCTACTGTTAATTCACGGTTCAACTAAGCTTTGAGTCTGAAGTCGACTCAGTCACTAAGTTAAGACTCCTATTGTAGTGGTTTTCAACCTTCTGGAGCAAAACCCCGATAAAACATTCCAAAGACTCGAGGAACACCTGAAGTGAATAAGTCTGAACCAAAAATAGAACCGGTGCTTCAGTGGTTCTCAAACTTTTTTTGCCCGCGGTGTAAACTAAAAACATAAACAAATTTTGTGGCACAATTGTAAAAAATTAAAGCTTCAAATAAGTTTATTCGGTACTCCCGGAGGACATAGGAATGTAGTTTGTGTACCAGGTTAGGGTTAGGCCATAATTTCAGGTACACATACTACGGGAGTCACTTGGCTAGTCCCTGAACTCGTAGAATAGAACTAAAATAAGGGAAATTGGAATAAAATTATGGCCTAACTCTAACCTGGTACACATACTTTGGGAAACGCTGGGTTAGATTGTTGGTTCAAAAATATTACCAGATATTGTGGGCGGTTCTTTTCTATCTTTTGGTGAAGCGAAACCCAAATGAAACTTTACAGAGGATCTATCATGTTGTTTAATTGTCTTTTATTGTCTGAACTATGAATATATAAAAGCAAACCTAATACTGGTAAAATGAAATGGTATCTAAAAAGCATGGCAAGTTTAATAATAGTGGCAAACCTAGTGGGTATTGAATTATTTTTATGCAAATTTGCAGAACCCTGGATTGTACTGTCTTTGGTTGAAGCCCGCCATGCTAAAGTGAATTAAGTCTATTCATGTTTTCCTAATTTCTTTGTTCCAGGTTCAGAATGCCAGAATTTTAACTGAATATGAAAGAAAAGCCGATGAATGCTGGAATAAGAGGGATTTCAGACAGGTAAGTCGGGAACTTGTATAACAAAATATGGGGACAATCTTAACTTATGATTGGGGTCCTTAATTCTGCGATTGGAGACAGCCTTGAAGTAGTATTTTCAAATTTTTATTCACAAGTCCGACTTGAACTGAAATTAGGGAGCAGAAGAACAGGCGAAGTGTCACTCTCGTAAGGCTATGTTGTCTTTCACTCTGATCTGGGGCTCTGTAACATGTAATAGCAAATATGTGAGGTGCTACTATATTATTGAAGGACTCTAAAAATCTTCCTGTTTATTGCACTCTAGGTGTGGTAGTGTGCACACGGTCTGTACATGAGGTATTCTGCCTGCAAGGCATAACTTTTAAGCCACCAGGCCATTGTATTTACTCTTTGAAAAATTGTAACTGACCTATATTTTTTACAAGTCTTTTTTAAAAGTCTTTTTCTGACTTTTATGTGACCTGGGTCTAATTCAGAGAATATATTACTAAAACCATTCGCCTAAATTGCCTGTTCTGATTTTTCTTTTTTCCAAGGTTGTATTTTGTATGGACCGAGCATCTCACGTAGCAGTTGCCTGTATGCCTTATAAAATGAAGAAAGCTGAATGCTTGGCCTTGCTTGGAAGATACGATGAAGCCCAGAGCATTGCTATGTAAGTACGGTACTGGGATATTTTTGATCATATTTTCAAATTTCTGCAGCCTGAACTTTGAATATCAGCAAATATGCTACAACTCTTATTCAAACTGTTCGAGTATCGTACAAAATGAAACGCTTTTCCTAATTTGTTATAAGGAATGCCATGCCACACCCGCTTGCTTATGAGGTAAATAAACTCATTTTTGAGCAAAGATAAAGTCCACCACTGAAATGCCAATAGCTCACTCAGAATTGAAAGTGACTTATCTCTGAGCAATGTAACAGGCAATCACCAAATTCACAGAGCAACCAAAACCAAATCAGAGTTATGATGGGGCATTACGCACGCTTACTCATAAGTAAAGAAGATTCATAACAGATCAAAGTTACGGGCAATCACTGAAATGCCAATGGCTACAAAATTTATACAGAATTATCATAGGGCATTACACATACTTACCCGGAGAAAATGAGACATAGTTATGAGCAAAGTTATGTGCAGCCTATCAGATACCTACATGCTCATGAGATTATGACAGTGTTTCATACACATTCGCTCAGAGATTAAGGAGACTCATCTCTGATCAAAGTAATGAGCGACTGACTACTAATATACCAAGAGACACTGAAACTTATAACAGCTCTGTGGTTGTGCAGTACACATTAGGAAATGCTGATCCTGATTGACTCTCAAATAATTAATTTCCAAACTATCAATTTTTTCCTAAATGGGGAGGTGATTAACATTTAGAATGAACTTTTTTTCTATTCCCCCCAGGGACGCACTACAGATAGATGTCAACAACGCAGACGCAGTTTACGTTCGTGCTCTTTGCTTATATTACGACGACAACATTGACAAAGCCGTGAAGTTTTTCATTCAAGCTTTGAAGCTCTCACCTGACTTGGAGAAAGCAAGATTAACATTGAAGGTTTGTTTTGTATGTTTTTTCCAAGTTTTTTTTAAATCTCATCTACGAACAAGGCTTGGAACTGAATGTAATGAGCTACTATGTGCACAATTTGTTACTCCCGTAGTATGTGTACCAGGTTAGACCATAATGGTATTCCGAGTTCGGGAACTGTCTGTGTTAGCCAAGTGAATACACAGGCTTCAGTCCCTTCACACAACTTGATGTAAAATAGGCAAGCAAAATTAGTTACCTTCGTATTGATCCACACCCCCACCATTTGAGAACCACACCCACACCCTGCTTGCTTGTCCCCCCTAACAAGCAGTCACTAATCTGCAGTAACTCACTATCATGGCATTTTCACTCTGAACCATGCTCTGGATAAATTACCACTGCTGGCTGATTGTCCAATGAATGTATAGAGTTCCATTTTTCTTATGAGTTTGTGACCTTGAGCTGCGATTCAAGGTCATTGGGACTCAGTGGCCTTAATTCAATCTATGTTGAATCTCAGTATAGTCAAATAAAGACCATTGTGACCTTGGTTTGACCTTCAAAGTCAAATAATCAAGTTCTCTTTTTATTTTAGAAAGCCAAAGCTTTGGCGGCAAAGAAAGAAGAAGGCAATGAAGCGTATAAAAATGGAAGATTTAACGAGGCGCTGGAATTTTATGGGGAGGCGTTACTCATCGATGACAATAATATCAAAACCAACGCCAAGTTGAGATACAATCGAGCTTTGGTAGCTTCAAAGGTAGGTTATGTCGTTTTTCCGTTTTGCTCTGATAGGATTTATTGCTATGTAGCCGAGGAGAGAATTTTCCCAATTCCAGCCTGAAAAAAAAAATTTTGGGATCCAACTTCCAACTCTGAAAAAAACTGATTTTGGTGTATGCAAGCCACTATAGGGAAGTAGTAAACAATTTTGACTTATTTTATCACCATTGAAAGTCTGAAATAAAGACGAAGTTTTGACATTTCAGTTTAAATATTACAACTCCATAGCTTGGGTCATCAAGAGATCAAAAATTAACAGCAATGTTATTTTCACGCCACACCCAGGTATTTTGAACATCAGGCACAAAAATGATAATAATCATAGGATTTTCAACCTGCAATGCCATCATGGTCTAAAACTAGGGGTCCAAACAGGGTTCATGTGATGAATTTTAGGGGCCGCAAGAAGTACACTAATTTCACAAAAAGTAATATGTATATCTATTGGACTTTTTTAGACTTTGGGGAGCCCTTGTCTGGTCTGAAACCTAAACAGGTAGAGAATGTTATCTTTCATGACTAATTATTTTTTCAGCTCGGCAAGAACACTCAAGCCATAGCAGACTGCAATGTGGCCATAGAATTGGATGAAAGATATGTGAAAGCTTATTTGAAGAGAGCACAGCTGTGAGTATTCATTGTTCTGCCTTCCCTCTATTGGAGCAGTGGTCCCCAAACTTTTTTTTTCAAGCGACCCAAATTTTTTGAAAAATGAGTTTTGTGGAGTGTCATGACATAATGTTTTACGAAACTTCTCTCATAAACATAGCTACAAGCGCCACAACTGGTCAGCGAGATCCGAAAGAATTTTCAGGCGACTCGCGTTGAGAAACACTGTTATCGCAGTGATTCTCAAACTTTTATGATCCATACACCCCTTCCCCCTCTTACTTGTGGCTCTCTGCCCTTCCAACAGAATACCTGTTTTTTTAACTAAATCCGTCAGTTATTTTATGCTATGTATTAAATAATAAAAAACACATCAAAAGAATGAGTGGGTCATAGTCTCATATCATCACGAATGGTGATCGGTGAAGGCCTTTCTTTGTTTTTGGGCAAAGCCTTTCCATGCCATCTATTCTTAAAGTCCATGCATCCAAAACGAATAGCTATACCCATACTTGAACATGGACTGGTAAACGGACGAGAGGCCGTTGTATGCTGTTAAAATAAGCCATCTGATTGGTTTTCCTCTCCCCTGTAATGAATATGAAATCATATCCATTAACTCCTTCCAGGTGCACTGCTGAGGAACAATTTGAAGAAGCCTTGAGAGATTACAAGAAAGTGTTTCAAATGGAAAAGACCAGAGGTGAGGAGACATCTCGTACATTGTATATTTGCGGCTATAAACATTGTTTGTATTTTTTGTACAGTAGCGGCCCATAACTGGGGACAATTTTCGTTGTTTTTGTTGATTGCAGTTATCAATATGTAATAAATCACTATCATTCTATATAGTTTCAGTAGCTCTTACCATTTTGAGTGAACGTGCATGTAATTCACCACCGTGAACAGTTTTAGTATCTTTTGGCATTCCAGTGGTCATACATAACTTTTCTCAGAGATGAGTCTTCTTTACTCCTGAATCAGTTTACGTAATGCATCACCGTATATCTCCATATTATTATTAACTTTAGCCATTTCTTTGGTTTGTCGTAATTTAGCTCAGAGATGAGTTTTACTGAGCAAAATATTTGAATAGCGAATCGAGATTCGAATGTGCATTTCGCATGTACAGAGTTATGCTAGAAAAGTAGAAAACTTGATGGTCACATGAGATCACGAATAAAATGCGCGCACGCTCATTTTTTTTTTTTGTAGGTTCTAGGTTGATACCTTCAAGATTCATATTTGATTTCTATATATTTGATTTCTATGTGTGTTTTATTTTTATATAACACATGCCTTCAAAAATGTTTGTAAAAGTTTTTCCCTGTAAGAAAAATAGCTGTTTGACAAAGTTTCTATTTTTCTAGCGGCCAATAATAATATAAAGACCCCAGAATTCAATTCTTCCATTCACTGAGATACTTCCCCTATATAATGTTCTTACTTTGAGTTTTAATTTTTTGTCAGAACACAAACGTCATGTTGGTACACATACTACGGGAGTACCAAATATTCGAATAACGATTAGCGAATCGAATACAACACAACTGTCAATCATGTGTATATTGTATTGTTGTTAAGATCCCAGAATTCATTACCTGTTTTTAATTTGAGTTTTGATTTTTTGTCAGAACACAAACGTCATGTTGATGAAGCTGAGAAAAGATTGAAAATGAGCCAAAGGAAAGATTATTACAAGATACTGGGAGTCGGGAAAGACGCATCAGAGCCAGAACTAAAGAAAGCATACAAGAAGCGGGCTTTACTGCATCATCCTGGTGAGTCTTATCACAGCATCCATTGAAAAGGGAGTTTTCCAAAAAAATTTAGTCTATGGTGAAAATAAAAGTTAGTCGCAATTTCGATCCTTTACCCACAGAACACTCTGAAGAAGCTCACTGCTGTTCCGCGGAACACAGTTTGAGAAGCATATATGAATGTGATGTTTGATAGCCTTTCTGGTCTTTTGGACTTTACTTCAGTGCCGTCACAATTTACACATCACAGATTCAAAGCCCATGCTTACTTAGGATAAAATAAACTGAGTTGGCAATGTCGAACCAGAAGATTCTGATTCTTCCAAATAACAGTGGTTACTTTGCAGCCTTGTCTGGAGCAAAATTCTTTAATTATCGTAGATCATCGGTTTCTGACTGGGGGCAAGTGGCCCACCAATGAGACCACAGATAAGTCACAGTTCTTCCCAGTTCCATTGCTTGATAAGGTTGTTTCACAGGATGTTTTCACTTTGTTGAGCATGAATTATTTGGACATAAGGGGATTTGGATTTGAGCAATCAAAATAACACTATAAATTCCACTGGAATGATAAACAGCGGGCCACGAGTGCTAAAAGCCTTCTAAAGGGGGCCATGAGCCAGGAAAGGTTGGGAACCACTGTTGTAGATGGTCATTCTGAGTATTTTCAATCTACTCACCTAACCTCTCACACTCGTATTATATTGTAGATCGCCACTCACATGATTCTGAGGAAGTTCAGAAGGAAGAAGAGAGGAAATTTAAAGAATGCGGGGAGGCATTCGCTGTTCTGAGTGATCCCAAGAAAAAGTGAGTGTTTTGTCATATAGGGTGCAAAAGGAATTATAGATAAGATTTATTGATTTGACCCTCACATATCCTCACATATGTATTAAGAAGTAAAAATACTTGAACAATTACTGATTGAAAAACAACAAACCTGGTTGAGATATTTAGAGAACTGACTTCCTAACAAAATTGAAATTGTAAAGGGACTTTATGGACACCCTGTATGTTGGGAGTCTAGATTAAAGGTAATTCGGTGATTCCAAAGTAGGCAATATCACAACTAATTTTATTCCTTCTCTTCTAGAGTCCGTATAGCTTATTATCTTGGATGAGAAATTTTTTGGCACCAATTTTATTAAAACTCATCTTCCACAGTGGGTCCCTGAAACGAGGGGTTTTTACCTATTACTGTATTCATTTACGTACTCCGGGGATAATTTATCCAGATTAGTGCCCAAAACGGGAGACATGTTTTAATAATTGTATTCTTTCTCCTCACAAAGATATTTGTATAACTTGCCCCTGAAACGAAAAAATTTTGCGTTAATAAATAATATTTTCTTCTTCCAGGGAAATCTTTTTTAGCTCTCTCTCTCTTCCATGGAATGTCTTCTAGTTCCGGGAACGAGACCTTTCACATCGTTAATTTTGTTCATTCTCTTATTACAGGGATCGTTATGACAGAGGTGAAGATATTGACGGGCCATCAATGGGAGATTTTGATGCCTCGAACATTTTTCAGATGTTTTTCGGGGGAGGGGGACCCGGGGGTGGATTCCATTTTCCAGGTGGTGGGGGAGGTAAGTAAATTTTTTTCCTGAAAAACCAATACAGTGCATTTCGGCGTACTTCAAAAGTACATGCCTATCCTGTTAACTTCTGGATTGTGTGCACCAAGATGTCGAACAACCTGAGCATAGTATTTGTGTACCGGTTAGGATTCAGGTTGTGCGACATCTTGATGCACATACTTCTGGAGCACCAAAAAATTAGTTTTTGAAAGCTGTCCATACTTAATGAGATGGTCTTGCCCTTTCACTACAAACTTGGCTCAATACAGCAATATTTAGTTCATTTAATATCTGCATTATTTATACACCATCAATGAATTTGGAGAGCCCAGGATTAGTTGATGATCCAAGTCTTGGTGATGATACAGGAGGCGAATCGTTGGCCCGAGCCCCCCCCCTAATACTGTGTGATACCACCTCATTATCTTCTTTCTTTTAGGTGGACCAGGAGAGTTCCATTTCCAATTCGGCTGAAAAAGCAACGTCCAGAATCGCATTTTATACATTTCCTCATTTTGTAAAACCTATTTCTATTTTTGCTGCATGACGCTTCCAAATTTGTTTTTGTGTGAGATTTACTGTAATGTCATTTACTTCTCCACGTGGAATTAAACCAGTTATGGGATTCAAAAACTGTTATTTATTCTGTTCCTAATAAACACTCAGTCAGACAGAAGTCAGAGTCAGACTTCTCATTCTTATACTTTTCAACAATTTTCCTGAAGAATTTGGAAAATAGTTTGGAAATTGAGCTTTATAAGAAACTGCAGCATTACATGAGCTGCATTAACATGACTTGCTTTACGTGAATCTAATGAATAATTTTCCAAGCGTCAAATATAGCTCTAGTCATCAGCTGTTTTGCATGTTGCTAAGGTCGTCTAATGTCTGAAATAATAAACTGAAATTTCCATTTCTGGATTTGTTGCAACTTAAAAAAAACTTTTGAGCAAAATTTTGTTAACTTAATTAAATTAGTTATTAGTTATTAAACTTAATTACTCAGCAATGTTATATCTTTTACCCAATCTTTCAAGCCGCTTAGTTTTTTTTTCAAATACACTTTTACTTTTGCGAGCCTGCAGAGAGACCCATTTTTGGATTTGTTAAAACTTTATTACCCCCTTCTCAAGCGAAATTTGTGTGTGTTTCTCTCCTTGCTATTATATTTTTTAACCAATTTTTCTTTATATTGAGTTCATTTTTGTAGCGTTTGCCTCATTCAGACACTTCACTGGCTTGCTTGCCTATTTGCATGTCCTCTCTATACTGGATTTTGATAGTAATGAATGAGTGCACCATCATGATTCTATAAGTTTCCTGTTTGTGTCACCTTGCTTTGGGAACAATTAGAAAAAAAAACTTAGCAAAAGACGTGAAAGTGTAAACATCTCATAAAATGGCTTTTAAGAAAGTTACTTAAAAAATTGCGAACAATTAACTTTGTATTGAAGCTTTGCTTACAAAACCATCTCTAACAATTTCTTTGCCTGAATCGTGTTTTTGTCGCATTTTAAAAAAATGACATAATTGTAAATAAAGTGAATTTGAGAGTGAAGGATTCTTTGTTATATTTCATGTGTGTTAGTCAATTGGTTAGCAGTTCTTAAAATCATATTAAGCAGTTTATTGTAACGGTTGCATGGATTTGGATGGTGGAGGAGATCATAACCAACCGATGGTTACAGGAACCATTTTGTAACAGCAAGAAGTCCAGCGGGGGTGTTCCTTCATTATTTCATGTCTTTTTTTGACAGTGGTTAATAGTTCTTTGATCGATAACTTGGGCTGGACATTTCAAATCGAATGAGTTCAAACAAAAATTTCAAATTGCTGCTACTTGTTTTTTTATTTGTCCACTGAAGGTTGAATCCTCCATTTATTTTCTTGAAGCCATATTATTACAATGCAATTCTGACATACGACACTCTTTTTCCTAGTGAGTTATTGATGGTGAGTAATAGGTCAATATTAGTTGGTGGCAGTTCCAGAAATTGAGCAATTCAGTTGAATATGACAATAGTCCTATACGGTAATAGTCTCGATTGAATGGTGGAGGCATCCCAGGGTTACCACATTGTGGTGACTAAGTTTCTAGCGGAAGTCGTTTCGAGTCTGGTTTGAACAATGACAAATGGTTGTTCGTATGACCTTGTAAACTTAGTGTATTTGTCAAATGGGTCCAAGAGATGGTGGCAGTTCCAGAGATTGAGCAATTGAATATGAAAATAGTCCTATACGGTAATTGTCTCAATTGAATGGTGGAGGTAAGTCCTTGGCATCCCAGGGTTACCACATTGTGGTGACTAAGTTTCTAGCGGAAGTCGTTTCGAATCGGGCTTGAACAATGACAAATGGTTGTTCGTATGAACTTATAAACTCAGTGTATTTGTCAAATGGGTCGAACTAATCCATAACCAAGAGAGGGGTGGTTTGTGAATACTTGTTGTTAGCAAAATGGTTGTTGGCAGTTCTCTGTTTCCAGAGAATGAGCAATTTATTCGAGTATGAAAATGTTCATTTATTTGTCTCATTTGGATGACCGAGGAAGTCCTTGGCATCCCATGGTTGTTACATCAAGCACAATATCGTAACAAAGATTCTAGCAGGAGTCGAGCGATGACAAATGGTTATTTGTTCGAAGCCTTGATTATGTAAACTTTGTGTATTTGTCGTCTTTACGAGGATAGACGGTCCAAAATTAAATATAGCTAATTTGTGGTGTGAATTTAGTCTCGCTCAAGAAAATTTGGCCGGCAGTTTATTATCCTACTACACATTAATATAAACGAAATCTCAATCTCTCAGGGCGTCAATACCTTGTATTACTGACACCATTTTAATAGGTGTATGCGATATCACATGCTTAACATGATCTCAATTGCACAAAAGTGGACCAATCATGGTGCCACTTTGGTATGAATCTAATCTCATAAATACATTCTCATAGAATTCAATTCCTAATCTTAACTAAGTTCAAATGAGATTACACAACCGTTGAGATCAAATAGCACCGATCAGTTTTTAAAAATTACATTTATTTAAAAAAGCAAGTTTTTTTTTCAAAATGGATATTCCTGTAGTATTTGTACCATGTTATGGTTATGCCGTAATTTTATTCTGATTTTCCTCATTTTAATTCTATTACGTGTTCGGGACTGTCTGTGTTAGCCGAGTGAATATACGCCCTGCCTATAGGCTTCAGTCCCTTCACACAACTTGATGTAAAGTAGGTGAACAAAAATAGTTACCTTCATATTGGTACACATACTTCTGGAGCGCCTCAAATTGAGCTATATACATTCACAACAATTGATGTTCCCTGTGAAATAACACAAATTATGACACGGTAGTGCAATGACTTGGCTTAATCTGTGGTTATCAACCAGGTTTTCTCTCCCAAGGATGAATATGGTAATTCTAACATTTGATTAAACCACCTTATCGGCTCTTCTCTGAATAAATATAAAATACCTATCCCATTGTTAGGGTACTCAACACACAATGCTCTACACTTCACGGTTTTAATTGAAATATCACAGAAATTACTGAATTGCAAAGCTACCCGGCATTAATAAACAGTATAAATGTGAAAGTGAAAAATTATTCAAACATGAAATTTTAGATGACATTAATTATCTACAGTAAGCAGAAGTCTTACAATCGTATGATGTTATCAAAACTTTTGCACTATTTGATTTAATAGTCTTGCTGCATAACTGCTGTAGCGTTTACTCTGAATTCTTCAGACAAGCATTTTACAACAATTTTGTTTTCACAGGAATTGATATCTCCGATTTACCTGCAATACATCTTTAGAACGGTTCTTATGCCACGGTTCATGGTCGGAAACTCAGCTAAGTGGCATATAGAATACAGTTGTACACAGCCAGAAAAACCCTAATTTCGAAAAAAATGATGAAAAAGGAGGCTTGTTATATTAGTAAACAAACAAAGCTACCAAGCAAATGATACTTATATTACTGGATTTTTTATTCCAGCTCTTGGAATATGCTTGTCATTCAGGGGAGGGGGATACTCTTGAAAAAATCTCACCAGACTTGACTCATCGAGACGAACTAGAGGTCGTGATTCGTCATAAGGTCACCAGCTGTCTTTTTGGTGCTTCTTAAGTATGTGAACCAAGATGGCGAACACCGGAATGTAGTAGGTGTACCAGGTTAAGTTATTCCAATTTTCCTTATTTTTATTTTATCATGAGTTCAGGAGACTAGCCAAGTGACTCCCATAGTATTTGTGCCTGAAATTATGGCCTAACCCTAACCTGGTACACATACTACGTTCCGGTGTCCGCCATCTTGGTTCAAATACTTCAGGAGTACCCAATTTTTAAGTCCAGCTCTTGGAATATGCTTGTCATCCAGGGAAGAGGGATACTCTTTGAAAAAATCTCACCAGACTTGACTCATCGAGAAGAACTAGAGGCCGTGGTTCGTCATAAGGTCACCAGCTGTCTTTTTGGTGCTTCTTAAGTATGTGAACCAAGATGGCGAACACCGGAATGTAGTATGTGTACCAGGTTAAGTTATTCCAATTTTCTTTATTTTAATTTTATCATGAGTTCAGGAGACTAGCCAAGTGACTCCCATAGTATTTGTGCCTGAAATTATGGCCTAACCCTAACCTGGTACACATACTACGTTCCGGTGTCCGCCATCTTGGTTCAAATACTTCAGGAGTACCCAATTTTTAAGTCCAGCTCTTGGAATATGCTTGTCATCCAGGGAAGAGGGATACTCTTTGAAAAAATCTCACCAGACTTGACTCATCGAGAAGAACTAGAGGCCGTGGTTCGTCATAAGGTCACCAGCTGTCTTTTTGGTGCTTCTTAAGTATGTGAACCAAGATGGCGAACACCGGAATGTAGTATGTGTACCAGGTTAAGTTATTCCAATTTTCTTTATTTTAATTTTATCATGAGTTCAGGAGACTAGCCAAGTGACTCCCATAGTATTTGTGCCTGAAATTATGGCCTAACCCTAACCTGGTACACATACTACGTTCCGGTGTCCGCCATCTTGGTTCAAATACTTCAGGAGTACCCAATTTTTAAGTCCAGCTTTTGGAACATGCTTGTCATCCAATGAAGGGGGATGATACTCTTTAAAAAAATCTCACCAGACTTTGACTCACCTAGACTGGTAAACGAACTAGAGGTCGTGGTTCATCAAAAGATCAAGTTCACCAGCTTTCCTTTCCTCACGAGTAACTATGAAAATCCTAACATATAATTAAGCCGTCTTATAGGTTTTCCTCTCCCGAGATAAAGATTAAATCTCATGAGGAGAATAAAGATATAATTATAAAATATACAGATGATTTTAATGATAAAATGGCACTTAAGAAAAAAAGTTGAAGAAATAAACGTTTTGTGCAAAGTTGAATATAAAAGTGCAAATATGGTGACAATATAATAAACATAAGAGTTAATCGAGTTCCCTAGCAGCATTATTGTGCCTCGCCAGAGAGCCATAAGCAATGAGTATAATGAGGCGCTCGCGAAGTGTGTGTACCAATATGGAGGCAACTAATTTTGTTCGCCTATTTCACATCAAGTTGTGTAAAGGGACTGGAACCTATGGGCAGAGGGTTATATTCACTTGGCTAACACAGACAGTCCCCGAACTCGTAATAGAACTAAAATAAGGAAAATCGGAATGAAAAAACAGCCATACCCTAACCTGGTACACACACAACAGGAGCAGATTAGCAAAATATTTTTAAATTTTGAATTTCTTTCAAAGATATACGATACAAACAACTTCTCAAAATAATTTCTTCAAAAAATTAAAAATATAGAATACAAATTTAAAAAATAACTTTCTGTACCGTTTAGGACTCAAAATTATTGTAAAAATGGTATTTAGATACAAAAAATGGTATTTATATTGGGTGTTTTTGGATATGATGGGGGGTATTTGGAAAATATGCAATTTGATAAATATGGGAAAGTTTTATATCAAAATACTTCAGTAAGCCACATGCGAATATATACATTTAGACAGCTGGATTTCTACGATTAGAAACCAAAAGCTTTCTACTGATGGATGAAGATAGCATTTGTGGGAAGGCAAATTGCAAAAAAGAAAGGTAATATGGATGCCTAACGTTTTTGTATGAATAGGCCATCTTATCGGCTTTCTTTTCTCAAGGAATAAATGCGACTAATTAATTGAAATAAATGTGACCAATTAATAAACCATCTTATCAAACTTCCTTTCCTACAGACTAAATATATGTGTGGTCAAGCCAACTTATGAGCTTCCTATCAAAAAGTGTTATCCCATGAATATGCCGTTTTGGAAACATCCTTTTCCCCCAGGATAAATGTCCTTACCCCACCATGCTTAGCTTGCCCCATTCTACATTATCTTGTACCATGCACAATATTTAGACAAAATATATAAAATGTTGAAATTCACAGAAAAATAAATAAAAATTTCACAAATATATGTCAGCATCTTGTCTTTGTCTTCAGATGTCCTGAAAAAAAAAATTGTATAAATATAATTTTCTTCTTACTTGCATTGCACATTAATTTGATGTGGAGAGCAGAGTTATGAAATCTGAGATATTCACAATCGATAAAATAGGGTGATATTTACATATTTATTCTGGTAAGAAGAAAGCCGATAAGACGACTTAATCATATGGCGAACCAAGGCCTCTTGTCAGGTCGCCAGTACATGTCGGGTGTGGGATTAGCCAGTTATTTGTTCCAGAAATAGTGGTGGAGAAAGCTGTGTCTATCAAGCGGTTACAGCAATCCTCTCTTAGAAAATGATCTGCTATGAGGTTCTAACCTACGCAAGGCGATCAAAGATGCTGTGATCAGTGAATTCCTTCCTTCCTTGGCACAATGCACCATAGCACCAAGCATTGACTCCTGACTTTTAATTTAAAAAATATGACCCTTCTCCAAATATAAATTAAAAAATTGAACACAAATATGAACGTATTACAGATTTAAAAAGATCTCAATAGAGAATTACTAGCCTGTTAAAACTAGAAATATTACAAAACCACTCACAAAATGACTAATATATAAAAAAAATATTGAAAATGACAAAAATAATTAAAGTCTATCCAACTACAGGTTAGTAAATTGCTTTGTTGAGCTGATGCATCACACAAGTGAATGTTATGAAGAATTAACAGCAGAGTTCAGTTCTTGGTCTAAAATTAGTTCTATTAGGAAAAAATTTACTCACACCGTCGCTCACTCAGAAGTGAGGGCGACTCATCTTTGAGCAAAGTTACGAACACTCACTCAGAAGTAAAAAAAACTCATGTCTTGGCAAACTTAAGCGCACTCACTCAGAAGTAAAGGAGACTCATCTTTTGGCAAACTTAAGGGCACCCACTCAGAAGTAAAGCAGACTCATCTTTTGGCAAAGTTACGGGCACTCAGTGAGAAAAAAAGGATATTATCTCTGGGGAAAGTCACAGGCATTCACTAAGAAGTAAAGAAGACTCATCTTTAAGTAAAGTAGAAGTAAACTAGACTCATCTCTGAGCAAGGTTACGGGAATTCGCTCAGAAGTAAAGGCGAGTCATCTCAGAGAAAAGTTATGTGATCTCACACAGAAGTGAAGGAGACTCATCACTTTGCAAAGTTACGGGCAGTCACTCAGAAGTAAAAATGACTCATCTCTGAGCAAAGTTACGGGCACTCACTCAGACATAAAGGAGACTCATCTCTGAGCAAAGTTACGGGCACTCACTCAGACATAAAGGAAACTCAACTCTAAGCAAAGTTATGGGCACTCACTCAAAAGTAAAGGCGAGTCATCTCAGAGAAAAGTTATGTGATCTCACACAGAAGTGAAGGAGACTCATCACTTTGCAAAGTTACGGGCACTCACTCAGAAGTAAAAATGACTCATCTCTGAGCAAAGTTACGGGCACTCACTCAGACATAAAGGAGACTCATCTCTGAGCAAAGTTACGGGCACTCACTCAGACATAAAAGAAACTCAACTCTAAGCAAAGTTATGGGCACTCACTCAGAGGTAAAGGGGAATCATCTCTTGGCAAAGTTACGGGCACTCTCTCAGAAGTGAAGGAGACTCATCTTTAAGCAAAGTTATGGGCACTTACTCAAAAGTAAAGGCGAGTCATCTCAGAGAAAAGTTATGTGATCTCACTCAGAAGTGAAGGAGACTCATCTCTGAGCAAAGTTACGGGCACTCACTCAGACATAAAGGAGACTCATCTCTGAGCAAAGTTACGGGCACTCACTCAGACATAAAGGAAACTCAACTCTAAGCAAAGTTATGGGCACTCACTCAAAAGTAAAGGCGAGTCATCTCAGAGAAAAGTTATGTGATCTCACTCAGAAGTGAAGGAGACTTATTTCTGGGTTTAAGTTAAATGAATGATAAGAAAACTAAAGGATCCTCATCTCTGAGTTAAGGGTGACCACTAAAACTTCAAATGCTACTGAAAATATATAAATTATGGTGGCACAGTCACTCATAATGTAGGAGAACTTCATCTCTGTGAGCAAAGTTACGATCAGGCAATGTTACTGTTTTGTGACAATTTTGTCAAAAAAACTTAGATTTTTTAAATCCTCATAAAATAATTAAAATTGAATTTCACATGAACAAAATTGTTGACACACAGATTTATAGCTTTCTAAAAATTAGGTTAAAATTACAATTAGGAAAGAACTGAACTCTGACCCTATGGTTAATGATGCATGACATATCAAACCTTGGTATATTTATGAGTGTTCAATGCAGGAGCAGGCGGAAACAGAGGGGAGCCAGTTTGGCGAGTTCTAATAACCTGAATGATTGTTAGGAATGAAAGAAAATGAAAATGTTCATGATGAATCCACTTAGCAATGGATAACTTTGAATTACTCAAAACAATGGTAATTTCTCTTGACTGAAGAAGAAAAGAAACACCAATTCACATATGCCTATTGAAACTCAACTACACAACAATGTAACATGTATAGGTCCTGTAGTATTATGGAACAATCTTATTGTAATATGGAATATGGTATATACAATATCAGCTATGGGACTCAGCATCACTTCAGGTGATGAGTGCAACATTGAAAATATTGAAATTTTCAACCATTTGAATCTTGTGTCAGAGATACCAGTGGATAGTGGATGATATGGAGTATACAGTGTAAAGTGATATTTAATCCTAGTTTAATCTCTAAGGCCCATGAAACAATCTTTATTCACAATTATGATATGACTATATGGCAATGTTATGAAGGCTCGATATATTGACTTGACTCGAATTGCCATTTCTTTAGGCTCGAAGTGATTTGAAACATCTATAAAATGGAATGACTGGGACTCAACTAACCACTGGCGAGACTTTGATGTAGGGGGAAAATCATAAAACAACACACTCCAAATTATTAAAAAACAACTGCTGCTCCAATATCCAAATCAGGTTGAAATATTGAATCTGACTCTATCTCTTAGAAAACCGAATTTTGATACCCAAACCTTGAGCATTTGCCGAGAACGCTTAATAGGTTTACTGTATTTTGTCAAAAATTTTGACTTCAGTTATCACTATCCACTCTGAAATTCAAAGTTCGAGCGGGACCTCAGGAAATTCAAAACTTTGAATCAAGATCTGACAACTTTGATTTCAATATCGAGAAAACATTCTAAATTCAAATTTTCGAGTCCACAACCCTATTTAAAAGGTCATCAACTGCTCATGGAAAAACTACTTTCTTAATTTTCAAGTGTGTAATTAATCATGCATATCTCCCATACCTTGAATTCAGCTTTTTCTTTGCCATCTGGGCTCGTAGTCAAAACCATCGCTTTTCCTCCTCGCATTGTAATGGATCCCCTGACCACTTGAGAGCGATCAAGATCAGTGGGAGACAAATCCTGGAAGATAAATAGCACAAGTTACAGGAGGGAATGTGTGGACCAGCCAAACAGAATCTTTCAATAATGAAGATCATTATTATGTTATTCCTCTTTAATTAGGATAAGTCGGGTTCCCTCTCCGTCCACAAGGGTTTTCAGATCTTTTGATTCATTTCTCTCCCTTTGCGAGTTTGGAAATTCCCTATTCTCCCCATAAGATAACGCATCAAATATACATTTGCTATATTTTCTCTGTTTGACTTTTATTGAACACTCGTAGCTATTATGTTGTTGGTCCCGCAGTCCTACCCTGGGACGAGGAAAGCTGATAAGTTGGCATAATCATAGGATAAGATTTCCATATTTATCTGAACTCGAATCTTCAAACCAACAAGGTTATTCAGAAGCGCGATGGCAAGTATTCTAATGCTTAGCACCGTACAATATTCACCAAGCTTTTGTCAAATCTAAAACCTACCATTTGATGAGTTTCATGCTTCGCACTTCCATTCGATTCCAGCTTTCTGACTGTTGTCCCATCAAAGCTATTTCTCAAATTAGCTTTTTCTGCTTCTGTATTAAAACTCGTTCCCTTCCACCCGTCTTCTCTTTTTGCAAACTTGGTTCCTGAGTCATCGGTTTTTATCTGGGAAAGGTTAAAGGTCAATATGTCATATTATTTATTTACTCACTTCAAAGAAAGATATATATCGGTGTTTCTTGATGTTGATCCTATCATTTTTTAGAGAGTCACAGAGCAATTATCTGACAGTTCCATGCAAATCCCTTCACAAAGTGCCGATGCCATTTGTAAAGGTTGCATTGCATTGGAGTAAATTACCCGTGAATTTTTAATTTTTGACTGTAGGGCGTTTATGCTTTTTGATTAAGTTTGTTAGCGCACCATACATCACTTAGCCATACAGCAATACAAATTTCTTTTCACAATATTTGAACCTGAATGAAGGGTAATCTGGAGCATGTGCCAATCGGCAAGCTAAGCAAATGCTTCGCATTTTCAATAAAAATAGTGAATACAGAACAATCCACTCACACATACTTATTCTCAGCAAGTTTCAAACCTGCAAACACACTCAGGGTCAAGGGTCAATGGTTTGATAACAAGTCTGTTCATAAAGTTTAGCACAATGCCATGCCAGCTCACCTTTACTGTTAGTTCCTTTTGCAACAACTTCTTTGCTTCTCCCAGTGTCATCCCTTGTGGTAATATGGGGGAATCCCCCTGGACATGGATCTGTGCTGTAGCCACCTCCTTGCGTGGTGGTTTAGATGGTGTTGATTCTTGTTGGATTGTGGTCTAAATAAATAAAATTATTCTGTCTAGTGTGATTTTGTATGATTTAATTTTGTTTTTCAGGGTAACATGACCTTGCCAGCGGGGGTCTATCTCATCTAGTTAAGTGTTTTGGATTCTCATTGGCTTAGACCAGAGATAAAGAAATATTCTGTCTACTTTGATTGTAATTGATCTTATAATTAAGCCGTCTTATCGGCTTTTTTTGTCGGGATAAATATGAAAATCATATATTAAGTGTGGCAATAGTGAGCCAGTTCAAGTCAAGTTTATTTTTTCCAACCAGTAAAAGGAATATCACAAGCACAATTACGAGGAAATGATAATTTACACAGTTTTACTGGGAAAGAAGTCGCAGGGAACCCAAGGCTTGTTATCGAGCAGTGAGACCCAGATTCTAATACCTAATTCAAAAAGTTTGAATTTTGGAGTCTTGAGTACCGTATAAAATATCTAACTAACACCGCTTACCAGAGATTATATAGGAAAGGTTATATTAATTAAACAACCATAAGACCAATATCATTCATTCCAGATGCGTGGTTCACATCACAATCTCATACAAACATCAAATAACAAACCTTTTGTGTTACTGGCACCTCCATAGCAGGCAACACTTCAGTTTTAGTTGGTGGGGGAGACTTAGTGGAAGAATCCTCTGTCCGAACAAATTTTATCGTTTTTGTGTTGTATCGGTCCTCAGCGATTGCGGTTTCTGGTAAATGCATCAGAGCGATCCGAGCCATCTCTCGCTGTTCGGCCGCAGATAAATTATGGAACATCCCACTTTTACTGCTCCTACCTGTTTCTGTAAATAATATTGTTCATTATGATCTATTCATCTCTGAACAAGGCTATAAGCAGTCTGCCCCTAATGAAAAGAAGGGCCACTAGGCATCAAGTCCATGCTTCCGAAAACAAATAGCTAACTAACCCATACCCGACATGGAATGGTAATAGGACGAGAGGCCGTGGTTCGCCATATGGTTGAGCCGCCTCCTCTCCCTCGGGATAAATATGTAAATCCTATCCTACTATATATATATATCAAAGGCTTTAATCGAGAAAAGGGAAATGAGCTGCACAGGTTCCGAGGTTTTAATCCGGTGGGAGATAAATATCTGCAATAGTATTGCTGGACTCCTCAACACAGTATGGTGGTTACGTAACTTCTCATGGGTTATGATTTCCCCTGCCATCAATATCATGCTTCTGAAGCAGATAAATAAATAACGTTTCCATATCTGACATTGACTGGTAACTGGGAGGCCAGGGTTCGCCATATGATTTCGCCCTGTTCTTGATATAAATATAAATTCTATCCTGAGTCATCATGTTGGCTTTCCTCCACCTGGGTTATATTTAAATCATATTCTTTCCTACAATGTGAGCACTCACCTCTGCTATGTTTGCTTGAACTGCTGGAAACCGAAGCAGAATCCGAATCAAAATCACTTTCTTTTCGAAGCATCCAGCTGTCATCTTTCTTGTATTTCGATTCTGAAATAAGGGTCAAAGGTTGAATAAATTGTATTGAATTAGACCCACATTTACAGGATGTCCAAGAATAGGAGATTATCATCTGGCTAACTATTCGCATATCCTATTTAGACTGGAAATTTGCTGGGTTATTTTGTTTGACTAAGCTGTATTATCAACTTTCCTATCCCCCTGATTAAATATGACAATCCCATCTTAACTCAATACAAATTGTGATCCAATGCCCACCGCCTCACCCAGAACGTAATAAATTGGGTTGGCAATATCGAACAAACCGCGAAGATTTTAGTCTTAATATAATAGAAACCCCTTACATATCAGTGTCTGCTTTTACATAGAGACATGTTCAGTGTGGAAATGCCTCGTTTCAATTTTGAAAAATCACAAAACCGCAAAAAAAAAATAAATCTTGCAAAAATGTGCAAAAACTGTGAAAAAACACCAAAAATCTTGCAGAAAACGTTAAAAATCACTACAAATAAAGTAATTGAGCATGACTGACAGAATCACTGCCTTGATAGTAGAATGCAATTATTCTGTCCAGTCACACATCACCACTTACAATGCAGAAAAAAATGACAACTTACTGTCTCTCTTCCCAGATCTTTCAATACTTTCTGAAGATTCAGATTCAGTGCTGAGTTGCGTGTTAATCAGAGGTTCTGTAAGGAAATTCGGGAATGGTAAATTAGTATTAGATTATAATTTGTTGATTTTTATTTTTCCTAGTTCTGATTCGGTGGTGTGGCGCATCATGCTAAGCGTTAGGAGTATGTTCGCCACTGCACATCTGATTATTCTGCATGGGTTCGCAGGCTCGAATCCTGTTGGGAATAATTATGTGAGAAAGGATTGCTGGAATACTTGCCGAGCAGAGTGATTCATGTAACTGGTGGCTGACTTCGATGCATCGGAAACAAATAACTTTCTAACTAATTCCATACCCGACATGGTTTGAAAACTGGACAAGAGGCCGTGGTTCACCATATGATTGAGCCGTCTCAACAACTTTCCTCTCCCCCGGGATAAATATGTAAATTCTATCTATGTTAACCTCTATTCAGTGAAATTTCTGTTGTATAGAAAATATCTCAGCACATCGGTAGTTGCCTGATATATTCTTTTTTCCATAAATATATTTTGCTTTGAGTAAATTTGTATAAAATTCAGGGTAAGGTACATAAATCTAAAAAGCTGTGAAATCTATGAAGCAACTTCAATCTCCCTACTTCACAATCTTGAATGTTGCTGTATTTTACAAACCATAATGCTAAAGCGCAATAAACTGCAAGGCGCACTGTCAATAAATACCTTAGATTGGGTTTTTATTTATACATGAGGCGCATGTAGATGCACTCGTTTTTAAAACATTACCGGCACTGGATTTAAGTGTAAGAAATACAGCATAAAGCACTGCATGATCCATATAAGGCACACAATTGATCTTTATGAACGAAAGGATTCAAAGGGGTCTGTAAAATACAGTATATAAAAAGCTCAAACCCACTTGAAGAGCAGACACCAACGAATCAAGAAGTACAAATTCAGTTTGGGCAAAAAAATAACTGACAAAGGTGTAGGAAAGTTAAACTGACTTTTCTTCGTTAAAATTCTCTTTTTCTTTTCTTCTAATTCAGGATTCATTCCCATCGTAATCAGTGGTTCAGTATATTCAGTTCCTGATTCATCTGTCTCCACTTTTCCTTCCTTTCCTTCCAGTTTTTCTTGTTTTATTGCAAACTTATTGACTATTTTCCGAACATCTTTCGCTGGTAATGATTCTTCGAGAGTTGTCTGCGCATCATCTGTGATGTAATAATAGGTATTAGGTATTCGGATTTTCAAATGTACACTAGGCGAGAGAAAAGTTGATAGGACGGCTCAATCATATGACAATAATATCAGCCAGTACTAAAATCCAACCCTCAAATATTTTTCATGTAGGCGTTTTGGTTAAGTTATAATTTTCTTATCTATTCTCAGGAGAGAGGAGAGTTGACAAGACAAAGCATATCTTAAACACAATCCTTTGTGAAAGTATCTAAAAATATTGAAACAAAAACTTAAGCAGTAAAATGAGCATATCACAGTTCTAACAGACTTTACAACAAATATCAGAAACAAGACTGTTATACGTGGCAAGTATGAGACAGTTAAGGATGAATTATCAAGTATTATTTTTGATATTTTTCTCAACTGGTGCATAATACTCATTTTGGAAATTAGATTTACCGGTAGTTGTGAAAGTGCATATAATGGGCAGAGAAAAATGATACCTGAACTACTACTGCTACTGCTGCTAGCTTTCCTTTCTCTTGGTATCGGGGCCGGCAATGTCGCACATTCTTCAATCTGAAAGGTTTCCATTCTTTTTCTTGGAACTGGGGTTGGGATTCTAGATTCTTCTAATTCAGCTGCTGAAAGACCTGAAAAGGGGGAGGGAATTTCAATAATCTCTTGCCACGAAATAAGGAACCTCTTATAGCGACATTTAACCCCAACTCATGTTGCGTCATCACATCGGCCACGTTTGGTTTTGAAAATTGAAATTTTCGACAAAACACATCTCTCAACCATAAGGTTCTGCCTCACACAATCTCATATCTGATCTTAAAGTCAAGTAATTTTACTGTTTTATTCCAAATTGTAAGATTTTATAAAAGCAAAAAAAATGCATTACGGTCGGAGAAATAAACAAATCACAGTTAATTTACTTTAAACTAATGTTAATGTTGCAATTGAAAACTAGTGAACTCCTCTGCTCGTGACCTCTAGAGATCTGAACTAGGGGTATCAATGGCCCTGCTTTGAACTACTGTGTCATCATGCCCACAAAATTAGAAAAGGTGTTAGAATTAGGAAGTCGACAAACTGATAATTTCAACTTAACAAACCTGGCATGTAGGTTGTCCCTTTCAATTCTTCTTCGGCTGAACTAAGTGAATTTAAAGAATGAACAGAACTAGCTGAACGAGATGAAATTGACGATTCTTTCAGTGGAATGATAACAGGAACTGATTAAAAATGAATAAATTTGAAAAAATGAAATGTATGAAGCAATGAAAAGCAAAAGCGAATAGTATATTATGGCAGTATGACTTGGCAGTCGGCGCATTGTTTGCCTACTGTACATCAAGTTGTGTAAAAGGACTGAAACCCATGGGCAGAGGGTATATTCACTTGGCTAACACAGACAGTCCCCAAACCCGTAATAGAACTAAAATAAGGAAAATCAGAATAAAATTATGGCCTAATCCTAACCTGGTACACATACTATGGCAGTACTTAAAGAACACTCTCCATCGTACTACTACGTGTTTGAATCCCATGTTTGATTGATTATGTGTAAGAGGATTGCTGAACTTCTCACTGTCATAGAGTAGACAGCCTCCTCTACCATCAAGCCCGTGCTTTCGAAAACAAAATAACTGTCTAACTAATCCCATAACGACATGGACTGGTAATCAGATGAGGGGTTCGCCATATTAAACTCTGTTCCTGGCTTGGCTCTTGCCATTTATTACACCCTAAATAAGTCTCTGGAGCCAACTATTTATATGTTTGTTGAGCATAAATTGTTCAAACATAATGGAATTTGGAATCCACCAATCAAAATAACACTATAAAAACCAATGGAGGTCTGAAAGCCTTCAAAAGGGGGACACGAACCATAAATGGTTGGGAACCACTGAATTAGGCTATCTCTCCTGTCCTGAGCAACCAATTAACCAATCAAAACCCAACCTGGTATTTCATGCTTTATGTGGTATTCCTTCTCACTGGAAGATTTTGAATGAGATGAACTGCTTGATTTTTCTGAATTGAATGAATGAATGGAACTCGCTGAATGAGATGAAACTGATGGATCTTTTTGAGGAATGGAAATGGAAGCTGAACAGATACAGTGACATGAATATGACAGACCATTTACACTGATAAATAGGCCACTTTCTGGTTATTCAAATACAATTATACTTAAGTTAGGTATAATACATGTTGTCACACCTCAAAAGAAGGGGAAGTGTTTGAAATTTTAGAAGATGTTCACTCCCTATAGGGTGGGGTGTAGGGAAATCCTTGTAGTGAATGCATGAAGTACCCCAAAATACAACACAAATATTTGTCTATGCCTATTTTGCTGGATTGAGACTACAAACCTGCACATAGTAACCATGAATTACAAGCTTTATAGTGTTCAGATTTGTGCCAATTGGCCAGCCTCATAATTATATAGAACATATCTAATACCAAATGATTTTGCAAGTGTCTGATTGCCTGCAGCCGTGTTCAAGGACCATGTTTGTTTTAGGGCAGTCGAAAAAATCGAATATTCAAAATCACATCACATATAATTCAAATCATTTTGCGGCTAATTTGCGAATAAATGAATCGCGCTCTTGAAGTATGTGTACAAATACAGAGGAAACTAATTTTGTTCGCCTATTATACATCAAGTTGTGTGAAAGGACTGAAACCTATGGGCAGGGGGTATATTCACTTGGCTAACACAGACAGTCTCCGAACTAGTAATAGGACTAAAATAAGGAAAATGGTACACATAGTATGGGAGTACCAAATCGTGTGGTAAACTAGAGCGCACACAGGGAAAAAAGTTCTTTGACTATCGCCAGGCGGGTAATATTAGGCAAAAACTACCAGTTTATGCGTTTGTATACCCCTTATACATAGAACACAATATTCCTCTACCTGGAATTTTTTCTTCAAATTCCTTCTCACTCTTAGAAGAGGATTTTGAGCTGGCTGAATGAACAGAACTCGCTGAATGAGATGAAATTGAAGATTCTTTGTGGGGAATAAGGACAGAAGCTGAGAATAAATTTTGAGTATGTATGGTTATATGTAAAAAAGAGCATGATCATTTAGGATGAGAAGTTATATCTCTCCAATGTTATGACGAGTAACAAGACTGTAATTCGAGTGATTCAAGAGTTTTGCAGCGCACAATAGTGTTGCCAGTTAGAGAAATGCATTTGTGATGTTGTGCAGCACTTGACAAATGACAATTTAATCACCAAGAGCAGGGTGGTCCAGAATTGGCAGCTCCGCGGGCCATAAAATTATTTTTGCATTGTTCGCGGGCCACAATAGTGCCAAAAACTTCGCTTATTTAACTTCGCTAGTTGCCTCAGCAAGCCATAACACTAGTCAATTCAGTGACATTAGTGATGCAACGATATGTCAAAAGATTTGGTTTGGTTAATTTTATGACGAAACAGCACGAAATGCGATTTTTTGATTCCTCTCCGCTTGCGACGCGGGCCACATATAACGAAGCGGCGGGCCACATGTGGCCGCGGGCCTGGGTTTGGACCACCCTGATCTAGAATAAGCTTCATTCTTATTCCTGCTACATTATGCTTAAGACCCATGCTCACCACCCCGGCAAAGTGATAAATTGGATTGAAATTGGCACAACAGCGACTGCTGGTCAGTTACGGCCTCCTCCACCACTAAGTCCATGCATCTAAAACACATAACTGGCTAACAACGTAATCCTATACCTGTCATGAACTGGTAACCGGACGAGAGGCCGTGTTTTGACTTATTTTTAAGCCGTCTCATCGGTTTTTCTCTCCCTCATGATAAATATGTAAATCCTATACTATCCTATCTAATGGCCAAACCTGGAATCCTTTCTTTTAATTTTTTATCACCGACTTCAGAAGAAGTTTTGGAATGAGATGAATTTACTGAATGAAGAGAACTTGATGAATTGGATGAAATTGATGAATCTTTCAGTGGAATGATAACTGGAACTGAATAAAAATGAATGAATTTGAAAGAACAGAAGACAATAATTAGGAATTAAATTTGAAGGTCATAACTGAAATAGGTGACATGTTTCAATGTGTTGATATAAGCGAGATTTCAATTCTTAGGTTTACTCAGTTGCGGGCGTTGTTAGGCTTGTCAGCTTCTGAACATACTCAGGTCACTTATTCTAATCCAGTACCTGTCTGGTGAACTCACAAAGTCAAATTTTTGGATTTTTAACAAGTGTTTAAAAAGTTATCAGTTTTATATTGACTCGAATGAAAGCCTACAACATTGGTTGCTGCCATCCTGAGTAAGCGTTTTGTACCTCTGGCTTTGTTCTTCACAAACATATTTCTGTATTCTCAATGCATCTGATTTATTTACCTGGCTAACTAATATCCGAAATGGACTGGTAACTGGACAAGGAGCCACTATTTGAAATCCTCCCAGAAACCTATTTCTTGTTCTCAATGAGAATCATTAGATGAATTCTCATTTCCTGCTAACCGAATTAGGGGTCATTTTTTATCTGTCAGAATAAATGTGAAATCCCATGCCAGCTTTATTATGTAGTTAAAACATCTAACCAGCTTTCTCTCTCCGCCTGTGTTAAATATAGAAATATTACCTTTAGTATGGTTTGTATCTAGATGGTCACTTTTCCTTTCTTCAGAGTGAGGTCTAGAGTGCGTACTATGTGGACTCGTTATAGTAGGTGTTATAGATCTTGTGGGCGTGGCAGATCGACTTGAATGGGTGGGCGTGACAGAACCACTAGAGTGTGGCGTGTCCACTGATGCATGAATAGGGGCGGAAATGGTTGCTGTAAAATGAAGAAGAGTAATTGACTTCAAAGATGTAAAAATCCATCACATGGTAAACTTCAGTAAGAGTGAACACGAGGTTTGAATCTTTAACCTTTAACCTCTTTTATGGGGTGTTTTTATACTTTTCCCAGATTAAGGCTATATAATTAGCTACTGGTATGTAAAGAGTTTCTATTTTCAGCAAGAACCGATATCAAAATGGATTGATTTTACATATGTATCTCAAAAGGAGAGGTGGTTAAAACCAGTTAAGCACATGGCAGACCTTAGGTTTCAATTGTAAACCAATCCATGTAATTAAGTATTTGCTCCAGACTGCAGAAGAATTGTGGAGCGGGCTGTAACAGAACAATGATTACATGAACCACCCTACAACATTAGGGAGTCCAGATATTCCTGCATATATATTTTTTCTTCATGAGATTCGAACCTTCAAATCCATGAAAAGCAGTGGTCGGCAAACTGTGGGCCGGAGCGCAATCTTGGGACACCAAGCATTTTCTAGTGGACCTCCAATAAATTTCAATCATGGCAGTGATACACAAAAAAGTTCTATAAATCCAACATTACATACTTAAAAAACTTAGCGTTCCAGAAGTATGCGCACCAAGATGTCGCACGACTTGAATCCTAACTGGTTCACATATACTATGTTCAGGTTGTGCGCCATCTTGGTGCACATACTTCCGGAGCTCCAAAATCTTTGCTGACCACTGATGTAGGGTGATCAGCAGGGGTGTTGGCAATACTCAGTTTTATGCACCAACTGCCCAAAACAAAGGGGTTTAAAGGCAAGAAAGTATAAGCAATAACATTATCTAACCTTCAATATTCTCAAAAGCGCTCATGTTCCTCTCGTCAGATTCACTTCTTGAGCGAGTCCCAGAATGGCTTGAGGAGCTTGAGTGACTTCTGGATTTATGGCTTGAGTGACTAGACTGACTCGAGCTTGAGGACTTTGACTTTGGCGTTGAGTGGAACGTAGGGTTTTCTATGGGTGGGGCAGCTGTCGGTCCTAAATAACAATACAAGGTTTTTAACTCCAAAGTACAAAACATTGGAAAAAACAGGAATCATGTATTGTCTTTATTGAAATACTGTGGTGAATATAACATTAAACTATGATTAGAAAACCACCTTGAAAAATTCAAGAAAGCGAGAGTTTCAGAATGAAAACTCTTAGCATAGAAGAGTAAAAGCATTAGCTAGTGCAAACCCGACCCATGAAACCCCCATTGTCTTCGTCATTGTCACATTATTTTTAATAGACATGTAGCATATCCAATTTGTTTTGTCCTTGGTAAGATGGGCTATGGATTCTTACCTGAATTGTTAGCATCGTACACAAAAACACTACTATTTATCGAAAGTATCATACTTTTTATTATCAGCATTGCTTTTCAAATCTCTTATACCTTTGGTGAGGGGCTTAGTGGCAGTGCAAGCTTTACAAAAACGACACCAATATGACACTTGACTACATTCTAGGCCAATAAAATATTTATATGTAGGTAGGTAGTTTTCAAGACCCTAATTATAGCTCTGGGCAACTTAATCAAATAACATACTTGGAGTGACTTTGAATGTTCTCTCCGACCAGGAAGGAGTCTCTCTTGATGCAGCATTCACTGGTATCTGGTGAGTTTGAGTTCGAGGAGGGAGACTGAATCGTGATGGCTTCTAAAAAACGGAAAGTATTAATAATTGAACATGAAGTGGTGATATGGGTACTTTGCTAACTTATAATAAGTATAAGATCATTTTGACTCCATAATCAGCATAACAGGCAATGAAATGATTGATAAAAACAAAATAAATAATAACTGATTATGAAATTGAGAGAACAAACAAAAAATTAGATTAACTTTAAAACGCATAGAATATAAAATGAAAGGCTTTGCAAAGGAAAAGTGGTACATGTTCACTCACAATTTGTTGTTGTTGTTGTAAAAAAAATTGCATCGCACCTCTGCTTACTATGCGTTGGTTCGCAGGTTCGAATTCCATGCGAGGATAGTTATGTGCAAGAGGATTGTTGGACTTCTCGTCGTCATAGAGTGGTTCACGTAAACGCAGGTCGATTACGGCTTCCTCCACCATCAAGTCCATGCTTCCGAAAACAAATAACTAACTAATCCCATACCCGACATGCACTGGTAACCGGACGAGAGGCCGTGGTTCGCCATATGGATAAGCCGTTCTATCAACTTTCCTCACCCCTGGGATAAATATGTAAATCCTATCCTATTTTATTTTTAAAATTTCCCTCTGATCCACACTTATTTCAGTGTAAATTGTGTAAGTTATCGGTACCGTGATTATTTCATATATTAAGGCATTTCACTTTTTTCATATGAAATGAGGATGGAAACTCAGCTCAGTCATAATGTATTTACAATAACCTATTTTGAAGCAAGATCATGATGACTGTTCTATAGCTAGAAAAACGTGGCACAGGGCGGATTATGCGTTAGGAATATGCTTGCCATTGCACTACTAATTACTCGGGTTTGCAGGTTCGAGAACTAATTATATGCAAGAGGATTACTAGACTCTTCAACGTCCTAGGATGGTTCACGTAACGGCTGGTCAGTCACGGCTTCCGCCACCATCAAGTCTATGCATCTGGAAACAAACTCCGGCTAACTAATCTCATACTCGACATAGACGAGCACTCATTGTATGGCTTATGATTAGGTCATCGTATCTGATTTCCTTCTTGCAGGATAAAATGATAACTTATCTATTTTTAGGATAAATTGTAAATTTCATGGGGAGTTAAGAAAACCTATCGCGGACTCGCAAGATTTATGAAAAAATATATTAAAAAAAGTTTTTCTGAATTCTGAATTAAATCTTTATACCCTGGCTTACCTTTTGATTTTCTTTATAAGCTGCAGCAGTTGCAGAATCCAGTGATTGTCGCTTGAATGCTCCCCGTTCAGCCTTCAATCCTGCTTCTCTTAACTCCCTCATGATGTCATCAATAGATTTTACCTGTATCAGAAAAACAGTGATATTCTTCTGTAACTTTATCAGAGGGTTTATTCTGCAATTCCAATGCCTGCTATGACATTTAGTCAGCACGGTTATTTTTTCTTGGACTTTGAACAAATGGACTATCAGTAAAACTAGATAACGATCAGAGACCGCTGACTTATCAATCTGTGGTTTCGATTCCTTCGCTCTGAATCAATAGCGACACAGCATGTCACATCACTAATAAATTAATAACTCGCTAATTATACAACATAATTCATCCAAAATCATTAGGCTTCTGGTCCTAGTAATGATGAATGCACATGCAAAATTTGGAGCAGATTCAACCTCGCTTTCATGAGAAATCGCGTAACATGCGAAAGTGTCAAACAGAAACACAAGCATACAGACAAATACCTTTCAACATACACACCGATCAAGATTGATAAGTAAAAATCAGACTGTGATGGCACCAAAAGTACCGGGTTGAAACCCCATACTCCCCTACCCCAGGGAGTAATTGAAGGGGAAGGCAATGCTGACCGAAACGATTCTAATCCTTCCCAGCTATAATTACCTATCGCCTTGTTCAGACTAAAGTATTTTTGTAAAATACTTATTATGATAGTATGATTTGTAGCACGGTTAACTGCCAATAGGACTAAACATTTTTGTACCCCTAGAAGCCAAAGGACAGGGACATTATCACCAAGACACTCCAACTTTTTTACGGACACTTGAATAAGTTACCACTCAGATACTCTCATATATTTATTACCCAAATGGGGACTGAAGAACAGGGGCGATATCACCCAGACATGATCAACAATTTTTACCCCAGCATTTACAGAGCGTTGTTCACAGTAAAAAGGGGTTTCAATATGTCATATAGAGAGTATGTGTTTGTTAACTGTTAACAGACGCTGAAGGCCGTTACCACTCAGACATCCCAACATTTTAAACCCATATTTTTTAAATATTACATTCAGGTCTCACATGCTCAAAGCAAAGAGGTGTATTAATACGTATTATTGAAAGTATGGTTTTTGTCACACAGACATTTCAATTATTTTCTCGATATTATTACATTTAGGTCTTATATAAAATACATAATTCTGTTAATACCTACCTCTACGATTGTTTCAACACTTTAATGAAATAGTAAAAATATTGTAACTCACTCCATGTCTAACTTCTGTTTCTTTCTTTTCCATGAATCCGACTTCTTCCTCAAGTTGTTTCAATCTTTCGACAGCATCCACGGTTGAATGATTCAGGTTTTCAGCATCTCTTTGTATTTGATCCATTCGTTCTTCCATCACAAATGTTCTGGCTGCATTCTTATAAATCTAAATTAAGAGTTAAAATGTAAAGTGGGGTTGCAGATTACTCATCTCAGATTTAGACCCCACTTCTCTCGGTCAGGGTGTAATAAATAGGGGGGGAAATGACAAAGCCAAAAAAATTAGCTCTTAGCATATTATTGGTTTTTGTAAATGGCCTTTTTCAGACTGAAAAGTGAACAGAAAACTGAAACATTGTATAATGATTGGAAATACCGTATTTGCTTGTTTTATAGCCCGGGCCCATATTTTTTTTAACCAAACTCACTAATTGGGCCCTTATTCAAACCGACCCTTATTTAAACACGGGCACTTGTTATTTTTTTTTAAAGTAAGATTATACACAAAAAAATAAAAAAAAAACATACATATATATATAGATAAGATCGATCATTGCAATGATTAATATATTGTCATTTCTAGTTCTCAAGTATGATTTAAACGAGAATACCGAAAATTTTGACTTTTTCTACGCACCGCAGGTACAAATCTGCAAAAGGAGAAAAGTTTTGTGAAGCCCTATCAATATTGAAACGACGCACTTGAGCTATCAATGCTATCTGTTATGTAATTGGACGTCTGAGGTGTGAGTGGTATCTACCAGCACTTAAAATTGGAAAGCGTTGTGACAAAAGCGCTTCTTATTTCCTATTGTTCTCTACCATTGAAAAATCGGCTTTTACATCGGGCGGGTATTCAAGCCCCGGGCCTCATTTATTTTTTTGTTCTGTTCACACGGGCGGCTATTCAAACTTAATCCAGATCGGGCGGTAAAACGAGCATATACAGTATTGAAATTAATTAAACTAATGAAGAGGAATATTTTATTGCGGATGAAAATGTAATTTGAGATAAATGAAAGGGATCCCAATGTATAAAATCAAAAATCTTGGTCTGCGGAAAATTTATTGTTTTTCAGTTAAGGGATAGAAAGATGATGAGATGGATTAATCATATAGCAAACCAAGGCTACAGTTCCAAGTCAGGTAACAAAAATATTTAATTAGATAAACATCCCAGAAGCATGGGACTGATGGATGATTTGAATATATAACCGACCAATCACAAGACCAGAGTATAACCGACCTCTTCCTCTGCTACATTAATTTTGTGAATATTTTCTGATGATTCATGTTTTGATGACTCGTCATCTGAGTCTGAATCTGAAGACTCTGATGAAGAATGACCTTTGACCTCTTCTATGGTTTGAATTGTGTCAGAGAGAATTTCAATAGATTTGTTGTTGATCATTCTCATTGCTACTGCACTCTGGAAATGCAAAAAGTCGAAGTTAAGTAAATGATCAAGACTGAGTGACATGAGAAAATCAGTTTGAGTCAGTCTGTCTGAGTGAGTGTTTGGAGGAGAGAGAAGAGAGATTTACATGTTTATCCGAGAAGAGAAGAAAACTAATTGGATAGCTTATTCACATGATGAACCACGGTCTCTCGTCCGGTTACCAGTTTATGTCAGATATTGGATCATTTAGCCAGGAATTCGTTTCAGATGCATGGACTTAATGGTGGATAAAGCCATAACTGACCAGCGGTTATGTGGTCTAACTAACAATAACGGGAAGTTCAGCAATCCTCTCAGACATAAATAACCCCGCATGGGATTCGAACCTACGAATTCGCACAGGGTAATCAGAGGGCGATGGCGAGCGTAAACGATCAGAACCCCTGGACTTTACTGGCAGAACCCTAGGGTGCAACAGAACCCTGATTGAAAACCAAAGCTTTACTGAGAATAAAGAAGTAAAAAAAATCATCAAACTCACCTCCTCAATTTCCCTTTCTGTTTGTTCTTTATCTAATGTCGATTCATCCCCACTGATGCTGGACATAGATTCCTGGACTTTGTGTTCGATTGTGACTGAAGTATCAAAATTGACCTGAAACATAGCATATCAGATACATTAAATTAGGCAACTATTATCTACTCTTACCAGAACGTAACTTAGAGAATATGGAATGGGTGTCTACCACCACTAAAATTCTATATAGTTCAGTTAGCTCTTGACATTTAGTCTGACACCTGTAACTTTGCTCAGAGATGAGTCACCTTTACTTCTGAGTGAGTGCATGTAACTTTGCTCAGAGATGAGTCTCCTTTACTTCTGAGTGAGTGCTTGTAACTTTGCTAAAAGATGAGTCTCTTTTACTTCTGAGTGAGTGCCCGTTACTTTGCTAAAAGATGAGTCTCCTTTACTTCTGAGTGAGTGCATGTAACTTTCTCAGAGATGAGTCTCCTTTACTTCTGAGTGAGTGCCCGTTACTTTGCTAAAAGATGAGTCTCCTTTACTTCTGAGTGAGTGCATGTAACTTTCTCAGAGATGAGTCTTCTTTACTTCTGAGTGAGTGCCCGTTACTTTGCTAAAAGATGAGTCTCCTTTACTTCTGAGTGAGTGCATGTAACTTTCTCAGAGATGAGTCTCCTTTACTTCTGAGTGAGTGCCCGTTACTTTGCTAAAAGATGAGTCTCCTTTACTTCTGAGTGAGTGCCCTTTACTTTGCTCAGAGATGAGTATCCTTTACTTCTGAGTGAGTGCCCGTTACTTTGCTCAGAGATGAGTCTCCTTTACTTCTGATTGAGTGCCCGTAACTTTGCTCAGAGATGAGTCTCCTTTATTTCTGAGTGAGTGCCTGTAACTTTGCTCAGAGATGAGTCTCCTTTACTTCTGAGTGAGTGCCAGTAACTTTGCTGAGAGATGAGTTCTTTTTAATTCTGAGTGAATGCCTGTAACTTTGCTCAGAGATGAGTGTCCTTTATTTCTGAATGAGTGCATGTAACTTTGCTCAGAGATGAGTCTCCTTTATTTCTGAGTTAGTGCATGTAACTTTGCTCAGAGATGAGTCTCTTTTATTTCTGAATGAGTGCATGTAACTTTGCTCAGAGATGAGTCTCCTTTATTTCTGAGGTAGTGCATGTAACTTTGCTCAGAGATGAGTCTCCTTTACTTCTGAGTGAGTGCCTGTAACTTTGCTCAGAGATGAGTCTCCTTTACTTCTGAGTGAGTGCCCATTACTTTGCTAAAAGATGAGTCTCCTTTACTTCTGAGTGAGTGCCCATTACTTTGCTAAAAGATGAGTATCCTTTACTTCTGAGTGAGTGCCCTTTACTTTGCTCAGAGATGAGTATCCTTTACTTCTGAGTGAGTGCCCTTTACTTTGCTAAAAGATGAGTCTCCTTTACTTCTGAGTGAGTGCCCTTTACTTTGCTCAGAGATGAGTATCCTTTACTTCTGAGTGAGTGCCCGTTACTTTGCTAAAAGATGAGTCTCCTTTACTTCTGAGTGAGTGCCCTTTACTTTGCTCAGAGATGAGTATCCTTTACTTCTGAGTGAGTGCCCTTTACTTTGCTCAGAGATGAGTCTCCTTTACTTCTGAGTGAGTGCCCGTTACTTTGCTCAGAGATGAGTCTCCTTTACTTCTGAGTGAGTGCCCGTAACTTTGCTCAGAGATGAGTCTCCTTTATTTCTGAGTGAGTGCCTGTAACTTTGCTCAGAGATGAGTCTCCTTTACTTCTGAGTGAGTGCCAGTAACTTTGCTGAGAGATGAGTCCTTTTTAATTCTGGGTGAATGCCTGTAACTTTGGTCAGAGATGAGTGTCCTTTATTTCTGAATGAGTGCATGTAACTTTGCTCAGAGATGAGTCTCCTTTACTTCTGAGTGAGTGCCTGTAACTTTGCTCAGAGATGAGTCTCCTTTACTTCTGAGTGAGTGCCCGTTACTTTGCTAAAAGATGAGTCTCCTTTACTTCTGAGTGAGTGCCCTTTACTTTGCTCAGAGATGAGTCTCCTTTACTTCTGAGTGAGTGCCCGTTACTTTGCTCAGTGATGAGTCTCCTTTACTTCTGAGTGAGTGCCCGTAACTTTGCTCAGAGATGAGTCTCCTTTATTTCTGAGTGAGTGCCTGTAACTTTGCTCAGAGATGAGTCTCCTTTACTTCTGAGTGAGTGCCAGTAACTTTGCTGAGAGATGAGTCCTTTTTAATTCTGAGTGAATGCCTGTAACTTTGGTCAGAGATGAGTGTCCTTTATTTCTGAATGAGTGCATGTAACTTTGCTCAGAGATGAGTCTCCTTTATTTCTGAGTTAGTGCATGTAACTTTGCTCAGAGATGAGTCTCCTTTATTTCTGAATGAGTGCATGTAACTTTGCTCAGAGATGAGTCTCCTTTATTTCTGAGTTAGTGCATGTAACTTTGCTCAGAGATGAGTCTCCTTTACTTCTGAGTGAGTGCCTGTAACTTTGCTCAGAGATGAGTCTCCTTTACTTCTGAGTGAGTGCCTGTAACTTTGCTCAAGGATGAGTATTCTTCACTACTGAGTGAGTGATTGAGCCTTGAGGAAATTCTCTTGATAGATAAAATCTACCTTATTATAGTTTGACTATGCTCAACTCTACATTTCTGAACTATTATGACATATACTATAAACCCCAAGTCCTTACAAAAAACTCAATACCCATTCCTTGCTCTTCTTTACAAGCATTTCATATTTATCCAGAAGGATAAAAAGTCGATAAAATGGCCTAGTCATATGACATACCAATGTCTGGTCACCAGTACACGTCAGGTACGAAATTAGTTAACCAGTTATTCTTCAGTTAGTTTCATAGACTTGAGATAATATAATTATGTGTCTAGTGTAATACAGCCGGCATAAGCCTTTGTGTTTGGGTATTGATTTAAGATAAAAAATTACATGCTTGCCAGATAATTATATGTTAAGCCTCTTTTGAACAATATAGCTTTGAAATTTGACATTATCTCGAGTAAGTTGGGCTTTGGCTTAAGAAATATTGTGGCCTTGGCCTAGTTAGGATAGAATAGACTTTTTTGAATTTGTTCCGGAAGAGATGACAATAGCATGGATTAATCTCATGGTGGTTTTTATTCTGGTACAAGTGTGAAACGAGTTGAACAATAAATTTTTATACAATGTACTTTCATGTTTTACTTGGAACAATTTTTCAAGAATAAGCAAGAACCTACTAATTTGAAAGAAATGAATTCTTTATGATAGTCAGAGAAGAGAGTGTGTGCCCAGTGCAGGGATGGACAAGGTTTTTAGACCAGGGGCCAAAAATTTTGCCCCCCCAGACTGGCATGCCATATAAGTGTGATGTAGAAAGTTCCAATTTATGGAGAGTTGACAAAAACAAAAGTGGAAACAATAAGCCCCGTGCCAATACTAAATATATTCGCAATCTCAACAAATTCCTACAGCTATTTTGAGTTAAAACATCAAGATTTGGTTTTAGTTTGGTTGTGGTTGTGGCATTTGCGGATTTCTAACAGATTCGGGATTTCTATTACAACAACTATGTAGTGCACGCAGAATTGGTTAAAAGCAAAATTTATGGCAGTCTCAGACGAGCCATATTGAATCACCAAATGGTACGTAGTTTGCCCCTGTCAGGTATAGCGTTGAAGTGTTATACTCAGGTATGTTAGTATCGATGATTTCATATCTAAAGTTGAAATACCACCCAGGGTGTAAATTAAGATCTTCAGAATTCAGTGGCTACTGTCAGTGTGGCATTTCCTGCTAAGCGTTAGAAATACGCTCGCCATCCTACCTCTGGGATTACCCTGGGTTTGAATCCCTTGCAGGGATAGTAATGTGCGAAAGAATTGTTAGACTCCTCTCTGACGATGGTCGGTTATTGCTTCCTCCACAATCAAGTCCATGTATCCAAGAACATATAACTGGCTAACTGGTCCAATATCCTACTTGGACTTGTAACCGGATAAGAGATCGTGGTTTGCCATATGATTAAGCCGTTTTATCAACTTTCCTCTCCCTCGAGATAAATATTGCTGAAATCCTACTCACATAAAGCCTTGTTCGTAGTGAAAGGCGTGATAAACATTGTATAGAAAAACTGTTGAAAATCACTTTACCTCTTGTTGTTTAGGTTCATATAGTTCCCTCTCTTCAGCGTCAAGACCTTCTTCCATTTTTTGTCCAGAAATTCTCTGTTGTGCAGCAATAGCTTCGGCCATTTTGTCTCCAAAATCATCGTCATCAGGAATCAAGTCATGGTTTGGTGACAGATTGTTCGTCTTTATATTATGATCATGTGAAGTTACAGAGTGCCGTGCTGGTTGCAGGATTTGAGACCTAGGTAAAATTTAATGGTTAAGTTAGTTATGCTAGAAGAGCAGTCATGGCCAAAATCAAAAATTTACTATTCCGAATACATTCTGAAATATTATTTTTACCATTGGATATCAAATACATTATGAGGTGTGGCGCATTGTAATAAACGATATGAATACGCTCAACATCGCACCTATGTTTACTCTTCGTAGGTTCGCAGATTTGAACTTTCATGCAAGGTTAATTATGTGCAAATAGATTTCTGGGCTACTTGCCACATAGGGTGCTCACATGGCACAGTCCACACATCTGAAAACAAATAACTGGCAAACTAATCCTATACCCGACATGGGTTGGTAATCACACAAAAGGCTGTATTCGCCATATGATTAAGCCGCCTCATCGACTTTCCTATCCTTCGAGATAAATACGAAAATCCTATCCTACAAATCGGCCACAACCCGGCCCGCCAAACCATACAGTGGGGCTCTTGCATGGCCCAACTAGTGTTTGACGTTGGTTATATGGCCCACTGACAAAAAATCTTGCTCACTCCTGTACTAGGGAATCTAGATTGGGTCTTGTTCAACAAAAAATTTTTCAGGTTCCAGCTCAAACAACATAATGAAAATTCAGTGATATAAATATCGAACAAACCTCCTGACGCTTCTCTTTTCTGAGGAACCGCTTGATGAATCCGAGGATTCCGAATCTGAGCTGTTGGACCTGAAAATAAGATAACTTTAGTGTTTTTTTTGTCTGTCTCTGATACGCTACTCTTTTTTTAAAACAAAATTTTGAAAAAGAATGGTAATGAGACATAATATGAGTGTTGCACTGTCGCGAAAAGAACTCAAAATAGATAAACAGCTGGTTGAAAAATGGATGACCGGCCATGCAATCGCACCCATTGAACTTTACAATGAGTGAATACTTGATATAAAGCGATGCTATTTGATTTCAATTTTTAGTGGACCGCATTTCATTAGAAAAAGAGGACCATTATGCAAAATTTCGTAAAAAGTTTGAGAACCTGAAGTGAACCAGTGATCTTTACCTTAATTCCTGTTCTGCCTCTGGTATGATGCTGAGATCAGATTCAGTGCTTGGGGTTCTGGGAGGTGGAATGAGGATGCGTCTGAATGGATGAACAGAATGAATGAAAAATAATATGAAAGAGACGAAAAATGGATAGTGTCTCTGAAAGCAAAAAAAAAAAAAATTTCATTCAAAAAGAATATTTGTCAATAAATGATTCTTTGTAAGATGTTTTACCATGTTCTCCCTAAACATCGCTCTAGATAAGCAACTGCTTAACGACATAAAATAACAAATAAAACAAAATAAATAACAGTAATAAGGTTACAAATGGAAGCAAATTTACACCTTTTGGTGAGAATGAATGTTGGTCAATGAATGACTTCTACATGAAGTTCATATACAGGGTGTCCATAAAGTTGTACATTTTTTTTAAATTGCAAAGGGAATTCGGCGTTACCATATATTGCTTTGGCCCTCACAAATGTATCAAAGGAGGTAAAAAATACAATTACTGATAAAAACAACAAATCTGGTTGAGATATATTGAGAACTGACTTCATAAGAAAATTAAAATTGTAAAAAAATTTATGATTACCCTGATGGGTTGCTATGGTAAATGACTTCGTATGATCCAGGCAACTCACTTTTTAGCAGCGGGTTTTTCTTCGTGAACCACAATTTCTTCTGTGGTTTCTTCGGTGGTGGAAGGAGTCTGGAATTCTCGTGCCTCCCGGTCCACTGCTTGAATGATTTCTTCCTCTACTGGCGGAGTCCTGGGTGACTCAACCTTAAAACCAGAAAAGGAGATTTGAGAAATAGGATAAGAGGCGCGCGACACCATTACTTGTAAAGGTCTGTACAGCAACGAAATAAGTAATTTGAGTAACCGCAGCTGCAGTGTTATATTCGAAAGTTATGTGTTAGATTTACGTAACCTGCCAATGGTAATGTTTTATACACACCTTTACTTTTGGTAACGCTTCTCCGCTATCCAGATCCTCACTCAGTGATCGGAGGAGTTGTGGATCAACAGCGACATCTACTGGTAGATGAGGTTTTTTCGCTGGTAATGATTCAACGACTTCAACTTGGTTGCTCATAAGAGCTGGAGGAGACATAGTGCTATCAGGACGCCTGAAATAAAGATATTGGAATAACTTAATGAGACCGAGGGTATAATAGGTTAAATTCCTCACAATGCGGGAATAACATTTTGGTACACTTGTAGTATGCGAACCAAGATGGCGAACACCGGAACATAGTATGTGTACCAGGTTGAGCCAAGTTATTCCGGCAGTATTTGTACCTAAAATTAGGCTTAACTCTAACCTGGCACACAAAATTTTACCAAAATTACCAAAATTTTAACTATAACAACGGAGGTCATTTTGTATTCGGTGTTGTTTTAGTAGCATTATTTAGTTGAGGTGTGTGCAACAGGTGGGCTACGAGCCACAACCTTGCCTGTCAAGCCATTTAGTGTGGCCCTTGAGAACACTCAGATTTTTTCCCATCAGGCTTAAAATCCCAAATCTACAGTTAATGTTCAAAAAGGCGCTCACATGGGTAAAAATGTTTTTCTGCTCACTCCGCTGTCTTTAAAGTGTCATAAGTTCTAAATATAATTTAGACCAGGGGCAAGCAACAAGCCATTTAGTCTGGCCGTTGTCAACACTCGACTTTTGCTTTCCTCTTTGCCATTCAAATCGCGTTGGCATAGATTGTGCAACCAAATGGGATTCAAACCAGTGAATATCATTATTCGCTGTTTATCAATAAGGTCAACTTTTTCATTATCAAGCATAAAATCCTAAATCCGACAGTTTATGATAAAAAGAGCGCTCACATGGATAAAAATACATAATGATTATTGCTTTTGTCGCTGCGTTGAATCTTAGTACTGTAAGGATAAGTGATAGCTGCATTCCGCATTTTTAAGTGACTCAGCTAGACGTCTAAAGTTAGTTACATGGCCCACTGGCAGAAAAAGTTGCGCAATAAGCTCTTCAATAGACTATTGAGAACGCCAGGTAAAATTTATTCTTTTTGCAGTTTTAGTCAGAAGTTTTGACTCATTTTATCACCTCTGAAAGTATGGAATTACTATTCCGGTACGAGCAAAGTTCGACTATGACTCTGACATCTGGGAGTTTAAAAATACGACCTGGCTTCACAGCTTTGCTGCTAATTCAGATAATAATTCTGAGTGAGTCAAAACAAAATGTCATATTGAAATTAGACCTGACAACACTCGCAAGCACTTGTTCCTCTTCTACATGTTCTCGATCATCCGAATCACTGTCTTCCTCCCTCAAGTGGTCATAAGGCGATTCAAAACCATTCTGCAGTGACATCATAGCGCTTGAACTGTTATTGCTTGTAACCTGGGAAAAAATAAAAAATTATTCCAAACAGAATGGAAATTTGGTGGCTTCTCTTGCTTTTCAATAAACTAGATATGCTATAAAGTAGATATGCTTATGTGCCTCATAATTTAACAGCATCTTCATTATAAGTAAACAATACACCAAGAAAACTGAGCCAGATTGTAAGTTGTTATCCTAAGATGATGAGCAACCATTAATATAAGAGCTATTTAGGGTCGCTATGTAACTGCGTAATGGTTCGATATTCATTAAATTACAAAAAGTATAAAAATCAAAATTCATTTTTATTATTAGGCCTTCTTATTGACTTTCCTCTTGTTGAAAAAAGAAAATTAAACTTTACAAAAGTTTACAAACCTTTCCAAACTGTGACGGCCTTTTCTGCACCTCAGGTACCGACCAGTTCTCGTTCTCTTTGAGAAGTTCGTGAGAATGTTCGCTTGAATGATCAGAGTCTGAGTCTGATAATTCTTCTGTTGATAATCGACGCCTACGTTGGCCCCCTCCTCCCACTGCAGTAAATTTCAGCTCTGTACTGAACTCTTGTGGCGAGTTTGTACCAGACACAATAACTCCTTGTTCATCTAAAATATATCATGCTGATTGGTGTTTTTGGTTGCTTTTAATTAAGTGTGCACATCCTTGCCCACAACAAGGTTCTAGACCAGTGGTTCACAAACGATGGGGCACGCCGAGTAGTGGGATTCAAATTTTTTGTCAGCTGGTTCCTTCACAAAAGTCATATTTTTCAGCCGGTTCTGTTACAAACAGAACATTGACAGTAACCAGTAATGCTAACCGGTTCGCTGATCTCATAAAATTCCGTGAGACGGTTCTATAGAACCGGTGCGAATCGGCTGGGAACGCCCCACAACAGAGGAGTAGCCAATGTTTTGAGGGGGCATGATGTTAATTAAAAATAAAAAGATTTAATCTTTCTGGATATCTACAATTCTTTATTTTAAATATTTACGTTCCTTCCCTCCACATATTTTTTGAATAAAACATACTTTTGCCTTACTATCTGTGATTTTTAGCTTATTCTTAGCTAGTTATTCTTTAGGTGGGGCACGAGACTTGACTAATTGTAAAATGAGGGGTTGGGGGAACCACTATTCTAAACAATCACACACTTCTATCATATTGGAATATTTCAATCAAATATAGAGACAACTATTTATGCTCCCGGCATATGGGCATACCCACCTAATATTTGTCCCAAAGTATTATCGATATCAGCCCTCGCTACCAACTGATCCTTCTGCAGCACAACTCCTTGTGTGATGGAACTTCCAGATGAATTCTGAAATAAATAAAAAAGGAATTTTGACATGCTGGACTTGAAGTGAATCTAAGAATAAAAGCTGATGGATATAGAAGAACAATGGCAAAGTCAAGTCAAGTTTATTTTTTCCAACAAGTAAAAAAACATCACAAGCATAAATTTTGAGAAAACGATAATTTACAGTTATACTGGGGAAGGGAAATTGCAGGAAACCAAAGCTGGTTATCGAGCAGCAACACCCGTATCAACGTATTGTTATTGTTAGAATAACAAATTGATTTTTGCCCTTAGCTACTGATTCAAGTATCTTCTGAAAGCATATACCGGTGTCCAGGGCCAGTCAGGCCAACGTGACCTATGCATCCTCATTGGACCCTGTACTCCCATAGGTCCCGTGCTAATCTTCAGTGTAAGTTATTGAATTCTACTATGATAAATTATAATCATGTGCACGTATGAAAAGGATAGGATAGGATTTAAACATTTTATCCTGGGGGAGAGGAAAGTCGATAAGATGGCTTAATCATATGGTGAACCACGGCCTCTCGTCCGGTTACCAGTCCAGGTCGGGTATGGGATTATTTAGCCAGCTATTTGTTTTCGGGAGCATGGACTTGATGGTGGAGGAAACCATAACCGACCAGCGGTTACGTGAACCACCCTATGGCGGCGAAGAGTCCAGCAATCCTCTTGCACATGATCATCCCCGCATGGGATTCGAACCTGCGAACCCACAAATGGTAATCAGAGATGCATTGGCAAGCGTATTCCTAACGCTTAGCACGATGTGCCACACCACGTCAGTGTGCTAATTCTAGATGACAATTATAAGGTAAAATTATCTCAGTTATGATTTTGTACTTACCGGTAGTTGAAAGGTAACGAAATGTAAAACAAATTCATTTTCCATTACAAATGTAAACTTTCAGCTATTATCCTTATCCCTACGCAGATAAGGCCTTGCATTATCTGATTTGCATAGGGCCGTAGTAGTTTCAAATAGGGCCAGTAGTAGTTTTCAGGCCTGTCTGCTTGGTTGGATTGTTGAAAAGACCCTCGAAACAGGGCGCTCCAGAAGTGTGTGTACCAATAGAAAGGTAACAAATTTTGTTCGCCTACGTTACATCAAGTTGTGTAAAGAGACGGAAGCCTATGGGCAGGGGGTATTTTCACTTGGCTAACACAGACAGTCCCCGAACTCGTAACAGAACTAAAATAAGGGATGTTGGAATAAAATTATCGCCTAACCCTAACCTGGTACACATACTACGGGAGTACTCAAAGCAGGGACATAGTGTTCACAAAAATACAAGAAAAAACCTGATTTGACATAACTCGTTATCTTACCTGACTTTGATTCAATGTATTTCGCAAAGAGTCTGGGCTGAGACTACCAAGTCTTTCTGATAGTGGAATATCTCTGGATCGGTGGCGACCTGAAAACAATTTTAAATTTTTTCATGGAAGTTTGCTCAAAAAAGGTCACGCTTACATGGCAAAGGACTGCAGAAAGTACACAGCTGACATTGCCTGATAACTGGCCGTGGTTCACTATATTATTGGATTTTCTCCCACATGTAAATGGAAGGGTCCTTGCATTTGGAACAAATAACTGGGTAACTATTCCCGTACTAGATTCCCTCTTTTCCAGCAAGAAATAGAAACACTATCTACATCTAAAACAATGGACAGAAAACTGCCGAGCATTTTCTAGTGGGCCTCCAATAAATTTCAATTATGACAGTGATACATAAAAAGTTCTATGAATCCAACATTAAATATAATTTTTTTGCCAGATGGTTTTTGTTCATAATATATCAAACGATTATACATTACGTTCATGTTCATTCCAACTAAACAAATTAAATATCCCTTAGCAAGTTTATTATGTGGGTAAATTTAAAATTTCCAATGAAATTGTTGGGTCTTGAAACCATTACTACTCTTACTTACTATTTGGGCATTACTTGAATAACTTTGCCAAACACAGACCTAAAAGCACTACACCAAAAGACTCCTGACTCACTAGTAATAGATTGAGAACTAATTGATTCCATTTCGCTGTCTGAAGTTTCGGTCATTGTCCCAGTCTCACGCATGGATGATCGAGCTGATCCCTCATTGTTGTCATGAGCCTGGAATTGCAGAAGAAATAAATAATACAGATCGCATGGATAGGATAGACATAAGATTTACCTATTTATCCCAGAGGAGAGGAAAGCCGATAAGACAGCTTAATCATATGGCGAACCACGGCCTCTCGTTCGGTTACCAGTCCAGGTAAGGTATGGGATTAGTTAGCCAATTATTTGGAGCCTGGAATTGTGGAAGAAATAATGAATACTGCTCATAAGTAAAAGTTTATTCTCCAAAACATATATGGTATTTTGGTGGTCCTAAGTATAAGTATAAGTTTATTTTGACTCCAGAAACAGCATAACAATAGAATGATTGATAAAAACAAAAAAATAAAAACAAATTAAGAAGTCAGAAGAGCAAATAAAACCTTAGACAAGGTTTGATGCGTACAGTAACATTGCTCAGAGATGAATCCAAAATTCTGTGTCACATTCAAATATTTAATAAATGAAAGATTCTTCACTTTTTCAAGTACTTTGGAGATGGAGGTGTTACATAGGTTCATTTCAATAAAAATATATAACAGGTAAATGTCATTTGGTCTCCATTTCAGGAGCCTGACAAATTTCAATTTTTTGGTTGGGTGGGAGGGGAAATTTAAAAAAAATCGCAGGCAAGAAGTAATTTAGTGAGTAATTCATGTCCTTTTCTCTCCTGGAGGCATGTGAATCTACATTTTTTTCAAAGGGGGCAAAGGTTCTTTTTTTGGGAGGGTAAACAATATCCTTCATTTTAATGAATCATGTAAATCTCAATTTTTTTAGGGGACTTTGAGAAGGGGGTCAATTTTAATAAAAAAACAGAACGCCTTTTTTTCTCCATTTTCAGGAGGCATATAATTCTTAATTATTTTTAGGGGGGAAGAGGGGAGAATTTGAGATGAAAAATTCACACTCTGCAGTAACATAGTAATCCATGCAAACCTCATAGTAAAGCTGCGAAGAAACTTTATCCATCAGTTCAGATTTGCTATCAGTGAGGTATTTGGTCAGGAGAACGTTCTCCTCGGGACCTTGAGGCTAAAGAAAGAGGGAGAGGGTGAGTGAAAGCACATGCAAGTAGACAATATAGAGAATTATTAGTGAGAAGTGTTTTCCAACTTCACTTTAGGGATCTGGACTGGCAAATAGTACACGTTTCTCTAAAAAAGCAGTTGTTTTGTTAGATATTAAATAATAAGGTCCGTTTATTTTTTCGAAATTTACTTCAATGTGTTGTTTGATGTTCGGGGTAAGTGGGCACATACATCAGCATGTCTTAAATCTTTTTAGATTTTGCCTACTTTTTTGATAACCCGTATATTTTTTTGTTTTGCCCTGTACTGCTTCATTGTTTTGTTGTAACAAAAAATCGAAATGAATCTACTTACGGTTTAACTGGGGCTACCAGTTTAGTAACTTGTTATTCAATTTAAACTCTGATTTTAAGGGTCTAGTCATGACCATCTTCTACGACCATGTACACTTGCTCTAAACAAGCTATTGTATACAACATATAGATAAAACTTGGACAAAACAAGAAGTGTTCAGTTCTTTCTATCCGGTAACAAAACTATGTAGCAAACCATGGCCTCTCATCTAGTCACAAGCTATGAGTTCTTGTCTACTTCTTTATCCACCATCGAATGTCTAAAACATCATAATTTTAAATACGACTATGGCAGTTTGAAAATACTACAGCAGCTACAACTTCACTAAAACATGCAAAGATCAACCTCACAATTCCTACTCTATAGTGCTGATGTTTCTTACCATATTAGAATGTTTTTCTCTTGCTCTCTCCAAAGCCTTGTCAATCATCTCTTCAGCCATTTTCACCGATTCATCGATCTTTTTCTGCCTTTCCAGTTCTGATTCATGCTCTGATTGAGATCTTTTCACTGAAATAAAAATTACAATCAAACTGCTGAACTACTGAACTTAAGATTAAAAAAAGCCTCTAAATCAGGGGTAGACAACTACTTTCTTTAGTAGGCCAGTTACTGATAATAGACTTGGTTACTGGGATGGCGGCTAAAAACTCAATATGAAAAACTATGAATGGAAAACAGTTTATTTACAAAAGCTAGTCTGACAACTATAGGCTAACATTTATATAATAATAAGAAGCACAGCGTAACAATCAGGGTTAATATGACATTATTTTGATATTTTCAACAGAAATTTATATCCATAAAACTGTATATCATAATTTCAGCAGACATATGTGAAATACTTCGATGGGCCGATGAGATGGTACGGATATGGCTTGTAGGCTGTAATTCCCCCCTTATCTGATTGTATCTACTCCCCACTAAGCCATTGGGGCCATGTTCTCCTGAATAAAAGAATCTCATGAATAAAAAATATTAATAAAATTAATCAAGACATACATTCTTCCAACTTGGGCAGCAATAACTTAGATATAGCAGCTTCCAGTTCTTCCTTGATCGCTGATAATTTGTCCTCGTCCTTGTCAAGGTCATCCGTTTGAATCTCAATGTCAAATGAATGACTTTGAGTTTCAGTTGATGCTGATTGGAGAGGAGCTTCAACCGTTCCTATGACAACTGCACCCATAGTGACATCATAATCCTAAAAGCATTAGAATATATGTGATAAACACGTTGAGATTGAGATTTAAGATTGTCAGCAGAGCCGAGGCTTCGATCCATGGGGCCATCAAATTTTGTTAGAGTGTGGGACAAGTTTACCCCATCATAATATTACCAGTTCATGTTGGGTATGGGATTAGTTACCCAGTTGATTTTTTCAGATGCATGAACTTGATGGTGGAGGAAGCCGTAAACGACCAGCGATTACTTAAACCAACCGACAATTCAAGTCCAGCAATTCTTTCGGACATAATCTTGGCCAGCAAGATTCGAACTAGCAATCCTACGCAATGTAATCAGAGGTACAATGGCAAGCATAATCGTAACACTTAGCACAATGCGACATACCGTCAAGCCCATGTCAGTAAGATAAACGCCCTAAACCACCCCAAGGCATCGCACCCACAAAGGTATTGATTGGAATATATACTACAACCACTGATGACTGCTGATCTGACCCCTCCCCCCCCCCCCCCTCCCCATAAGCAATATTGCTGGACTATAATTTTTATCAGCTTTCCAGCTTCCAAAACAATGAAACATAGGAAAAAATAAATACTTGAGCTTTGTACACTCCAATCGTATTATTTCTAGGATAGGATTTTCAAACTGGGAGAGAAGAAAGCTGATAACACGACTTAATCATATGGCGAACCACGGCCTCTCGTTTGGTTACAAGTCCAAGTCAAGTATGGTATTAGCTATTTATTTTGTTTTCGGAAGAATGGACTTGATGGTGGAGGAAGTTGTAACCGACCAGCGGTTATGTGAACCACCCTACGGCAGTGAGTTGTCTCGCACTTGGATACGAACCCACGTAGGTTAATTAGAGGTGTGGTGGAGGCGTATTCCTAACACTTTGAATGGTTCACCACTATCGCCGAGCCAATCATTTCTCTACTTATTATTCTTACCAATAAACTAGTCTTAACCTCACCTGCTTTATTATTCCTTCATCACTCTTCTCCGACTCAGAATCTTTCTTATTCTCTTGTATTTGTCCATGTAGAGGCGTCTGGATTTCCCGACCTTCCTCTAGAGTTGTGATGCTGGAACTGTCGTAGCTTCTGTCTGATGGGAGCCGGTATAAAGATGGTGCCGATGTGGAATCAATAGAGGAGATTGAGTCTACAGAAGTATATAGAATTTGTTATTTAGGAGAGTGGGGCGACTTTTATTTTTGAATTTTGCCATGTGCTGAATGAGAAAGTTTGAAAACACCGTGGATGAGATTATTGCTGCATTACTCGCTTTCATAAGGTGGTTCATGTAATTTCTAGTTGGCTATGTTTTTGCCAGCAAGTCCATGTATATGGCACAAATGTACAAATACTGAAATATGTGGTAACTGAGTAACTGAATGAGAGTTAACCAGTTATTTGTTTCCAGATGAATGGACTTGGTGGTGGAGGAAGTCACAGTTACTTTAAACATAGTTAAACTTTTTGTCTCACCATTTCTCTCAACTTCCACTGTCAGCCTTGCTGGTTTCTTGGATGGGCCAGGAGAGCTGTCTGTAAATGTAAATGTAAAAAATACATATGAAATAAGAAAAATTTGAGGTTTTGTGTTGTTATTGGCTTATTGCTCCATTTTGGCCGTTTGAATATCTGTATATTTTAGGTTACACTAGGTTTGCGAAAGTATTGTACAACATAGGATAAACATAGAAAGTGGTGTGATAACCTAACTTGGTTCATAACAGGATAAATAGCTATTGCCTATTATAATATAAAAATTCTCCGCATAGAATTAGTTTGAATAAAAATTGGAAATCAAATTTTGCAAGTAAGTCATAATCTCCCATCTAAATGAATCAGAAATTTCTGTTTTACCATGAAAACTTATGTAACAGAGAGTATGATAAATCATAAACAGCAATGGGATTCAGTGTGCAATGCAGTGGGCAGGCAAGGATGAGCAGGAAAGAAATTGTAGCACAGTGGCTTTTAATATACAGTCTTTTTTGAGGAGACTTTTATATATTTTTCACTGATTCCTAATGTCTTAAGATAACTGATTAGTTCGGAAATTGCTCAGTTAATGTTCACTATTTGCTAGGACAATAATTAATTTTGTGCTATTGACTGGGTTTCTGTGGGGCCAAGTATTTATCATTCCTTTATGCTTCTGCATCGTTGGATTTGTAAGCACATTATGTGAGAGATTCTGTAGCAGTAATGAAGATAACTATTCTAAATGATTTAAAAGTCTTACTGCACAATAATTATGAATATACAGGGTGTCTCAAAAGTAAGTATACACTTTTAATTTTTATTTGCTTTTTCAGATACTCATCATATGGCGTTCATTTCCTCAGAAAACATACTATGAATAAGTAGTACAATTTAAGTATTGTCTGCATTTTTCATTAACCCACAAAATAGCACCCACAGAAAGGAGATTAATCCAAGAAATAGGGTGCAAAATTGCTGTTTGGCAAGAAGCATATAAATCAGTAAGGCAAACTCAGCACCTCTTTAATAGAGAATTTGGAATTAATTCGGCTCCTACACAGCGAACAATTTATGCAATTCATCGTAAATTTATGGAAATTGGATCTGTAGCTGATGCACAAAAATCAAGAAGACCAAAGAACAAACACTCCTTGAGACGAAATAATTCTGAATTCTCTGTTAAAAAATACACTGAGTTTGTCTTATTGATTTAAATGCTTCTTGCCAAACAGCACTTTGCACCTCATTTTTTGGGATAATCTTCTCGTCATTCTGTGGGTTGATGAAAAATGCAAACAATACTTAAATTTTACTACTTATCCATACCATGTCTTATCAAGAAATGAACTCTCTATGATGACTACTTGAAAGGCAAATAAAAATGTATACTTACTTTTGAGACACCCTGTATTTCTGCAAAAAAATTTGAGCAAGACTCTTGAATTACTTATAAAATATTTTTTATTTGAATGTTTCAAAAAAGCAATTTTACCACTTTCTGATTTTCTTGTTTTCTTTCTTTTCTGAAATTCCCTCGACACTTTAGCGCCCCCATGCCGTCGAAACTTTCCTTTCAATTTTGTATAAAACCAGTTACCAGCAAGTGCATGGAGATCTCTAAAATTAATGATAGTAAACAGTTGGATGGATGGATTCGAATAAATACCCCATATTTTTGGTAAATACAGGGGAGAGCGATCTGAGTCAGCCGAACTTGAACTCTGAAAATATCTATCCATTTTGGGCACGATGGGCTACTGTTAAAGCATCGGACTTTGCCTGGACAAGCAGCCTGAAGTTGGTAGTTGAAGTCAATTTAAAATTTTAAGTCAGAGTGAATTTCGCCTGATTGTACAGGCTATCACAGGTAGGTTATATCAAGGAGGGTTTCTTAACCTAGGCTTTTCACCCTCCGGTCACAGAATAGTTTTCTCGATTCCCTTGAACATTTTTAAATTTTTTCTCAAGTCTGCCAAGTCAAAGTGTGGCAAGCTAGTTTTTCATAATATTGGAGTTGTAGTTTTAAACTCTTTAAACTCCAAACCGCATGCAATCCAAAGTTTTAATTTTTGTAAAAACTTATGGACCTCCTGAAGTAAGCACACTAAGATGGCGCACAACCTGAACTCGGGTTGTGTACCAGATTATGGTTCAGGTTGTGCGACATACTGGCACGCATACTTCAGGAGTACCAAATTTATCTTCGAGATCAGATATAGAGCCAAGTTCAATTTTTATTTTCGATTTGAAGTCTGTATGTTTTTTTTCCAAATTGTTCCGAGTCGAATGTATATTCATAAAGTCTTAACATTTTTCAAAATTGCAAAGGGAATTTATCAATATCATATATTGTTTTGACCCTCACAGATGTATTTAATGAATCAAAAATATTTGAACAATCACCGATTAAAAAGTAACAAATCCGGTTAAGATATACTGAGAACTGACTTTATGACAAAGCTGAAATCGCAAAGGGATTTGTGGACACCCTGTATATTTTCCCCCATCCACCACCCTGCATTTTCCTACCTCTGTTTCAAGCAGGCATTGCAGAAGCATTTATCTGTGAGTTTGTCGTAAACGATACATTCAATCTTGTTCTTGCAAAAGTAGAGGTCGCACCCGTTGCATTGATTCTGTAGGTGAAAAGATCTTTAGATTTATCTCGGGGCAGGCACATACAGCTTACACAGTCACATTCCCATACAACTTGTCACATACAACTTACACAGTCACATTCACATACAACTCTGATCCATGGTATTTTACTCCCATTACCTGTACCATTGGGCACATATGTATACACATACACACAGAGTAGCACACATAAGGCAAACAAACAGGTTTCACACTCGACTCAAAATAAATGAATCATTATATATAAAGATATAATTTTATTGAGATATGTTATTTTACTCCCATTACCTGTACCATCAGGCACATCTTTATACACACACACACACACACATACACAATAGCACACATAATTTAAGCAAACAGATTTCACACCTGACTTAATTTCAATGAATCATGAAAAGATATATTCACACCCGCCACAAAAGCATACACGGAAACATATTCAACCATATATATTTCAAACTCGCCTTCGTATTTGTCATATAGAGCTCATATACACACAAACGCAGACACATAAACTGACCATATATATTCCACATTCCCCTCCGTAATAAGCCATGTGAATTTACTGTCACATCTCGCACATAAGGCAGGCTCACATACATCCACCACAATATGTACATACACAACAGCACACATAAAAAATATGCACACGCACACACGCAAGTGTGTGCACATAAGCTAACCGTATACATGTCACACCCACCTTAGGATTGATGAGCCATATAAATTTACTCCCACATCTGGCACATAGAGTATCAATAGGGACTTCCCCTTGAACCGCCTCCTTCACAATTTCTTGTTGCTTTAGTTCCTCATTCTCAACAGATTTGGAAAGTTCTCTGTAAATCAATTTTCGAATTTATGGTTGTCAATGAAGATGATACAAGGGGATAAATAATCAAAAAAGAGGGTGAATTTAAAAAAAAATAAACACACGAGGGCGCCGACAGGAATTTTTTGTGCTTTCTGAGTGATGGAGTTTATGTGTTTTCAGTAATTTATGCGCCTGGAGGGCCCATTACAATAAAAATGTCACATACAATTATCAATCTTCTAAGTACTGAAGAATTCTAGATTCGCTTCGAAAAAATATTTGATTCGTTTCAGAAACTACCAGGTATTCGAGATGCCCAGCCACAGTCCTGATATAAGTTCCGGGATCCCATATTATTTTTATGTCTACGTAATGCCGATGTTTAAACTCAATTATATTAACAATTCAACTTTCTTTGCCGTGGTTATTGCGGTTTATATTCACTCTAGGAAGCGGTTAACCACTAAACGTTTTTGGCAGGTTCAGCCCACTTGTTAAATATTTGTAAGAAGTTATGACAGTGGTTACCAACCCTTTATGGCTTGTGGCCCGCTTTCGGAGGGCTTTTAATCTCATGGCCCCCTGTTTATCACTCCAGTGGAATTTATAGTGTTACTATGATTGGTAGATTCCAAAACCCATTATGTTCAAACGAATCATGCTCAATAAAAATGAAAACACCCTGTGAAATAACCTTAGCAAGCAATGAAACTAGGAATGGATGTTTACTTGAAAGGGAAAGGTAAAATCATTTTTGGCCCAGGTGACCTTCGAACTTCTCTGTTGCCCCTTGCTTATAGGAACCGAGTTACAACACACTTGATCATCGCTCAGAACAAGTTTCTTAGCAAGAACTTGTAAACGTATTGACTGAATATATATGATCGGAAGGGAGAAAGTAAATTTAGTAAGCCGAACCATAATGCTTACTTTCTTTCCTAAATATAATAACTCCGTACGTTTTGAGAGCAGAGTATTTTTCTGAGCGAAAACGTAAAAACTACCTTTTACAAAAAGCGATTATGCGCTTCAAAAACCTCAGTAAGTATCTCAAATTTTTAACGGGACGTTCTCACCCTCACTCCAAACAAAGCTCCACAGAAACAAGCGAGCGATACTCAAATATATGGACACGAAAGCCACAACGAAGAAGTACGGGTATGCACTCTATCGCGCAACCGGCTCATGGTGCGTAATTTTTTTGATGACACCACGACACACAAAAAACAGCGACGTCAAAAATTTTTCATATGGCATTCTACACCTCTACTCCGAACAAGGCTCTCAACCTGACATGAGCAAAGTACCGCCCTCAGGCCAAATCCGTCCCGATGTGTAATTCAATCTGGCCCGCCTGACGCTGCCACAACCAAACTAAAATCAAATTTTGATGTGTAACTAAAAATAGCTCATGGATTTTGTTGGGATTGCGATTAAATTTAGTTTTGAGCGCGAGACTTATTGTTTTCCACTTTTGCTTTTGTGACACTGTAAATATTGTTTATTACATGTAACTTTTTAATTTACACTTACATGGTCCGTCAGTCTAGAACAGGGGTTCCCAAACCAGGGGTCGCGACCCCATATTTGGTCGGAGTGATAAGTACGTGGGGTCGCAAACAGGTCATGGGGTCGGTGGGGTCGCTGAGGTATGGTGGAGGATGAATGTACAAAACATCTAAGATTTGATAAATCATGTTAAATTTAGCAGCTTGTACCATGGCGTACTGAAAAACAGGCCCATAGGCATCGCTCTATGCTGATGCTATAGAAAATGTAGGTGCTTATTGCGACATCACTGTTTGGTTCCAGCTTATTTTACTTAATATCACCACATGACCAAACTCAAAAGTCCAGTGAAAGAAGCTTCAAAGCATATATATTGACCTGGGGTCGCACTGGACACTTGAAAGTTGTCGTTGGGGTCGTTCTAAAAAAAGGTTGGGAACCCCTGGTCTAGAATCTAGATACATAATTTTGGGTCAAAAAACTTTGCCCACTCCTGATCTATAGTGTTATCACTGGTATTAAGAGCATTCAAAAATTTATGCAATTGAAAGTTTTAGTATCGCGATTATACTTGAGGGGTGACGTATTACGCTACGCGTTAGTAATATTCTGTGGGGAATAATTATGTGCGAAGGGATTGATGGACTCTTCCCCGGCGTAGGGTGGTTTACGGGCACTACAGAAGTATGTGTACCAATATGGAGGTAACTAATTTCGTTCGGTTACTTTACATCAAGTTATTACATCAAGGGACTGAAAGCTATGGGCAGGGGTGTATATTCACTTGACTAACACAGACAATCCCCTAAGTCCTAAACTAATCTCATAGCCGACATGGACTGGTTAACCGTGTTAACCTGCCATCGCCGTGTTATCAATTTCAACAGTAAATATAATCGTCGAAAATCTACGCGCTCAAAACAAAATAAACATTTAAATCCGCGTTTGAGAAAGTACTCGCTCGTTCCCAACTACGCAAACACTTAACTGGTGCGAATACACTGACGTGTTTTCCCGAAGATAAGACAGTGTCGTTATTCAATTTACTTTTGAAAAAATAACACTAGGGCTTATTTTGGAGGGATGTCTTTTGTTTATCAAAATTACAAATTAGAGAATTACCAGATTTTTAAATATACAGAATATGAAAACCGATATCCATGTATTCATAAATACCACGTTTTTATTTAAAATAACTTCTAATCATAGATTATGAATCATTTAAAACGTGTAGGAGAGTTTTTTTGCTATCGACTACGTCGAAAATAATTTTGCGCTATTAACTAGGTCTCAATCTAGTGGGAAGGCTTGAATCAAAATTATTTCTGAAATTCACGTCAAGTGTTATTTTCGGGGAAACACGCGACTTGGCATAAAAATAGGAGAGCAATGCTAGAATATATGGGCACGAAGATTTAAAACGATTAATATTATGGTCATCACAATGCTAAAATAATTGAACGGATCTTGTACGAATATTTGTACCTAATTTCCCAAAGAACTCATAGAAAACTTTAGTCATTGCTAAATAATGAATATTTGGATTCGATTGGCCCAGGCGAGCGTCAGTGACTGATTACGCAGAGCCATTGATACAAAGGGGTGATTATCTGAAAAGAGGGAGGATAAAAAAAAAATAAACACACGAGGGCGCCAACAGGAAATTTTTTGGGGTTTGCGGATTGGTAATGTTAGAGGCAAATATACATGAAAAAGCGCCGATGAAATTTATCTTTCTTTAAAATTCTCTCGGAGTGGAATTCTACATGACGCTCTCTCCGATTGCCGTGTTATCAGTTCCAACGGCAAATATATTAGTAACAAACTTTCGCGCCAAAAATAAACATTTAAAACCGCGTTTGTGAAAATGATCGTTCGTTCCCACCCACACAAACACTTATCTGGTGCGAATTCGCCACCTGACATAAATGCCCCGCCGAATGTCATATGAAGATTCGTATTGAATGTCATATTAGGGTGTGCCCGTTAATGATGAGAACCCGAAAAACTTGGGGTTAAAATAATTGGTACTCCTGAAGTATGCGTACCAAGATGGCGGACACCGGAACTTAGTATGTGTAAGGTTAGGGTTGAGCCATAATTCCAGGTACAAATACTACGGAAGTCATTGGCTTGTCCCCGAGTTCGTAAGAGAACTAACATAAGGAAAATTGGAATGAAATTATGGCCTAACCTGGTACACATACTACGTTCCGGTGTCCGCCATCTTGGTACGCATACTTCAGGAGTACCAAATAATGTGCCCTAAAGAATTCATAGAATTTTGTTTTTAAATTATAGTCATCTAGCGGCTTTATTCAGCTTTCTTCGTCGTAGATTTTAAAATCGATTGACCGTTAAATTGCGGAGTTTATTTAATACACGAAAGCTAAAACGAAGAAGTGACCCGCCTCATCTTATACAGTACCTTACCTGGTGTACTGCACGGTACGGTCAAAAAACGTTCCGACTTCCGCGTAGCGCGGGAGTAGCATGAGAGAGATCACAGAACCGCTACAAATAATTAGTAACAATTTTAAAAAGTTCATCACATACAATTTCGAAGTGAAAAACGAATCCCATAAATCCCACGAAAAGTTTTGAAATATAAAAAAATAAGTAACGGGCTTCTAGTGAAAAATAATCTTCACCCCCTGAAAATTTCGAAGCAATTGATCCTATAGTTAATGAGAGAAGCAATTATTATATAATATAACATTAGGGAAGAAAAATATCGAGAACAACAACATAACGACAAAACGATACACTTCGTCTCCAATACCAATGAAGGCAAATGATTAATATGGCCACTCCAATGTCAGCATAATTCCAATGTTTTGTTAAAAGAATTATGTTTATGAATTATGTACCGTGGTCATATGAAGGTGTGCCCGTGAATGTCAAAAACTAGCAAATTTACAGTGATCGCACCGTGTAGCACTCGTTTATCGGTAACGGCTTCAAACTTTTCAAACAAACAACTCGCGGTAATCGCGCGTGAGGCAGTGGCTGAGCCGCCTTATCGGCTTCCTACTACCCTCGGATAAATATAAAAATAAAACAGAAAACAACCTTTCAAAACTGAATTCTAAAGATTGACGTTAAAGAGCCGAAAAATACTATGAAATTCCATGTAATACAACAGTATTTTTGATTTATAATCCTCACGCAAGTCATGCAGGGCTAAACTTCTTCTTTCTTGTATTGTTAAATTAACCAAATCAATTGAAATGTATTAATACTTTTTGACGGTTTGTCTTTCAGGGCATTTCAAATGATTGTTAACGGTTGACCGTTTTTTACTGAATTATCGGTTGACCATAGAATGGTATAGTTGAACTCTAGACTAGAGCGTACGACTACTCGGTATCCAAAAAATATAGTTGAAATGACGGACAACGAGCGGTTGAATGGTTAACCGACATTTCGTGGTCAAACATTTGACCGGGTTTCCGTTCAGTTTTCAATTAGGGGCCATGAAATCATATTTGACTGCGTGTTTCAATATATAGGAAAGATTTAAATAGGACAGATATTTAGAATTGTTTTGCGAGTGGTTGGTCGGTTAAACGAATTTTCTTGACCAAACGGTTGACCGCGGTTGCGTTCAATTGAACAACATTTTGCTGATTATGATACTACACAAAACACTCATTACATATAAAACACGGATAAATTATAATTTTTTTTTAATATCTTCACCGCAACTCTAACAAAAAGGGCGAGTCCAGACATGAGTTATGCACATATTTACTTTCTGGGCTGGGGTCTCGCGTAGCGATGATATGATGGAACTGTAGTGGAATGTGGCATCACCAATTCAGACAATATTTGTATGTTTATAACAAGGGTTCATAAACTTTTAAAATCGCATCTCATTCACTTGTTGTTATGAAAACGATAGTAGTAAAGGTGCTTGGAACGAGCAAATGGCCACGACAATTTTAGAGCCACTAGTTCAAGTTGTGCTAATGATTTGGTTTCTGCGAGACTAAGTACTTATCCTTCTTCTATGCTTTTGTGTCGGCGGATCCGTATGCATATAGTGCAAGGGGTTCCATTACATTTGAACCCACGTACATTTGAACCCATGACAATTGCACCTGTATGCTATTGCACCTATAGAATTTTTTTTGTTTCACGGATAGTTAAACCCATACTAACCCTAACCCATGGGTTTTAGCACCCGCATATAGATTGAACCCGTGGATATACGCATGGTTTCAAATGTACATGGGTTTAAATGTACGGTCACCAGTGCAAGGATGCTGTAGCAAGAGTAAAGATAACAATCCTAAGTGATTCAAGAGTCTTGCTACACACTGACACAAATGTATTTCTGTAACGTTTCGTCTGAAGAAGTCAGACCTCGGTCAGACAAAACGTTACAGAAATATATTTGTCTTCGTGAGCAGCAAGACTCTTGAATCACTTAGACTAGTTTAAGTTATGCCATTGTCTTATGCCATTTCGATATATCACGGACGCAAATTATGTTCTATCTGTAATATGTTTCAAAACAACCTGGATTCTGTTTTGAACTTCTGTTTATGTATGATTGGCATATGAGGGTAGTATTTACATATTTATCCCAGGTGAGAGAAAAGCCGATAAGACAGCTTAACCATATGGTGAACCCCGGCCTCTCGTCCGGTTACCATTCCAATTCCGGTATGGGATTAGTTAGTTATTTGTTTTCGGAAGCATGGACTTGATGGTGCCCAAAAGTTAACGTGGGAGTAACACCAAGATGGCGCACAACCTGAACTCAGGTTGTGTACAAGGTTATGGTTCAGGTTGTGCGACATCTTGGTACGCATACTTCAGGAGTACCATAGTTTCAGTAACCTATGACGATTTTCACAACAGTTATGTTCTCCCTAGAATATGTCCTATATGATCTGGGTTCTGGTATTCGATACACCCTACTAAATGTGCATTTATGCGTGGCCCTGCTTCAAGCAAACTTACTCCCACGTTAACGCGATGACGAACACGTTTCTTTCGGAAATTATGCAAAAACATTAATACACGCGCAAAAAATAGCTTACCCGATTCTGTTCGTTTCCACTTTTCTCACGGTATAATCCCTTTTAATAACTTGCAATATTATTTTTTCTTCTTCTTCCGTCAAAGATCCCAGATCCAGTTTCCGACCCATTCTTGGACTAATGGTTAATTGATATTTCTCTCTAAGTAAGGCCTATTTACATTTGAAAACTGTGTGACAAAAATAAATCTGTTTATTGCGGAAATTATCAAGGAGACATCTCGACCTCACCTATGGCAGGGGTTCTCAAACACTTGGTGTTATGGAGCCCGTGAAAAGGTTGACTATTATTTACGGATCCTAACAATAAAATTTAAAATGAAAATTATGTATTGGAACTTATAGATAATGTCATGTTTACATTACCGCTTGTTGCCACATTTCGACGATGCCGTTGTCAAATCTCGTTAAAATGCTTCTTTGGACAGTTACAAAATTAGCCAAGTCAGTATTTTAATAAGTTAACAAATAGCTCATGGATCGAACCTTTTAACATTGTTGCAAGGCCTCTAAAATCGTGCAACAAAAAGGCAGAGCGTTCAAGGCAGAGGTTCTCAGCCCGGTCAGGGGCCATGAAGTGATTCTGAGGGGCAGAAAGCGAGGGCCTTCACTAAGTACCATTAGTTATGGCTACATTAATTCACAGCAGACTTTTTCCACTTTTAATCAAGGACTCTGGACTTTTCTTTAAGGAACTTTGTTTCCAAACTCACGTAAAACAATATACAGGGTGTATACAATATACGATTTCATAGCATTATTGCAAATTTGAATAAATTTTGTTGTATAATAAATGGGGACTACAACTTTCAACATCTATAACATCCACTTAGAAACCGGTTGAGTATAAATCTTTTTTAAAATTCCTCTATTCGTACTGTCTGTACTTCTATCTGTGGGCTGGGACCTTGCTTTGAGCAAAGTTTCATGAACATACTCACACACGAATACATGCTGTAATCTGCCTAAACTCAATTTCTCAGCGTTCCTATAATTTCGTCACGGAATAATAAGCCTATATATTAAGATAATATAGATCAATCGCTAAGGACTATACTGTCTGAAAAACAGTAAAAGTAACTTATATTTTTATGTATTCGAAGCTACAAAGCAAATCAAATATAGGTATATCACACTTGATGCAAGCTTGGCCATTGACAAACTTTACATTACATCAAATGTACAATGAGGACAAGCAAGTCTAAATAATGTAACTAAAATACCAATAACGGTAAAAAGTAAGTTAATTTTCTGATTTTTTTAATCCGTGCCCACCATTAATTAATCGTTATGGAACATTAAAAGTTGAGATGTCGTATGGCTTGTGATAGTTTAATTGATTTATTATTTCACCTGGTTGCCGAAGGCAATCTAATCAATTTGAAGACTGATGAGTGATAGATATGTATTAATGGTTGCCGTGAACATTTTTGAGAAATCATTAAAATGTATAATTCAGGTCGCTTGAATTGCAAAAGCGTAGGACTCGACTTATTTAGCGCTATAATTTAAAGAAAGTCAAACCCCAATCAGGCGTGAATTCTGTCATCATTTATACAAAGGATTAAAAATAGGACCAGAAACTCAATCGTGCGTGACTGCTGCCAAAATCTTACACAAACAAGCGCCGAAACCCAACCAGACGTGACTTCTGCCAGTATCTTATATATTTATGATACACGAAATAAGTTCAAAAACCCAACCAAGCGTGAATTCTGTCAGTATTTCTTACATAAATTGTAAGGAATTTAAAGAACTCGGGTTCGAATTTTACGCCCGCCATCTCACACAGAGTATAATAACTTGAAAAGGGGAATGTCACTAAAAACTGAATGTTTAAATCATAGTCCCACCCTTGAAAGTCCAAAACTCAATTAAGCTTGAATTCTGTCACGGTTTATATAAATGACTAGAATGAGATAAAAAAAAAACTCAAATGTGCGTATCTCTGTCACAATCTTATATGTAAATGTCGCGAAAAAAGTCGGGAGCCGAACACAGCATGAATTCTGCCAGTATTTCTAATATAACTGAGAGGGGTGACCGTACATTTGAACCCACGTACAGTTGGACCCATTTGTATATCCGCGGGTACGGGTATCCGCTATATGCGGGTGCTAAAACCCATGGGTTAGGGTTAGTATGGGTTCAAATATCCGTAAAACAAAAAAAATGTCCATAGGTTCAATAGTATGCAGGTGCAATTGCCGTGGGTTCAAATGTAATGAAACCCTGAGAAGAGATCTCCCAGAATCTTACGTAAAATAATCCAAAACTCTATAAAGCAAAACTTCAGTCAGTATTCGCATAATTGACACGAAATAAACGAGAAACCAAACCAAGCGTGACTGTCGGCAATTCTTACATAATTGTCAGAAAATAAGACAAAAAACTCAATCATGTGTAACTTCTGCCAGTAGTTCATATGAAAGGTACTCAAAATAAAGATACTTTCTGAGTATGTGAACCAAGATGGCGGGCACCGATACGTAGTATGTGTACCATACGGTTACGGTTAGGCCAAACTTTTATTTAAATTTTTCTTATGTTAGTTCTATTACGAGTTCGGGGACTAGCCAAGTGACTCCCATAGTATTTGTACCTGAAATTAACCTGCCGGTGTCCGCCATCTTGGTTTACATACTTCGGGAGTAAACCAAACGCCCAACTAATCGTAACTTTTGTCAGTATTTTAAATAGTTGACACGAAATACACATATTTTCACGTCTACTGAACACGATAATCATCAAGTTAGAAAAATCGTTTGTTTACTGAAATAAATATGTAACTACTGTTAGTGTTTGGTATATGGAGCTCCAAAAATAATACAAGGGGTCGTGAGAGTAATCCTGCAATTTTTAAATCGTTTTCATTCCGAACAAGACTTTGCATTAGCAGCCGCTGATACGTAAAAAGCCTATATTTTTTGAGGGAAACAGAATCTGGACTATTCTCCATTCTCCAAGATAGGGGGTATAGTTAAGCAGTCACTGCAACGTGATGTAAAAAAAGCATAATTAGTGATATAAATACTCGGGTATGTGGGTCGAAACCCCCATTTTGAAATGTAAAAAAAAACCTTTTTTCCATATCATACATAGTAATTTTGCGTAGCTTGAAACGCCTTTAGATGACGTTTTCTAGCCTTTGGGTCTGCTAGCTTTTACGGTCTAACTTGGCAAATAGAAATCCCCCCCCCCCCCCCTCTCCCCCTAAAAATTCCTGGCTACGACTTTGAATGTATCCACACCTTCGACGATCATGCCATTTATGTAATGTGGCCGGGTGTGGTGAAGGTATAAAACTCCTTAGCAAAATGGCAGCTTAATAGCCCTCTATGAAAAAGGCCTTACAAATAGTGATTGGAACCATATAATTATCCCTTACCTGCTGTCTACGTGGCAGAATAAAACCCGTCCATGAAGCTGGCGGTAAAATATTGATTGGGATCCTATATACATCCCTATCTCTAACCTTCTATCTATATGGCAGCACAATAACCCTGTATGGAGGAGGCCATTTAAATGGCGATTGGGGCCATATATCCTTCCATATTCCTAACCAGCTGTCTATATGGCAACCCACTTTTACGAAGAAACGAGGCAGACCGTTCATACGATTTCTAACTCCTTCTTGCTCCCAAACACATGAGTACAAGTTGCAACGCCAAGACACTTAACGCGCGGTTAAACCAAGAGCGTTAAATCTCAAGGCGTTGAAAAAATAAACACGTCGGAACCGTTCAGAGTTAATCAAGCAAAACTGTAAAGGGAGACGATACTGTTAGTAATAATCAGAAAATAATGAAAGAGATAGCATTTTATAGTCACTTCAATTAGCAGAGATCTTCAATCTAATTTTAATACAAGTTTCTGTCCTAAGATTCTGTGATATTTCATCAACTATTTCTAAAATTCCGGAATTTGAAACATCGAATATCAATAATTTTGAAATTATTTGAATATGTAGCATTTTATGCTTAAAGCTCACAAGATAAGGAATTCTATAGTACTCATAGAACTTTTTAATCACTCGTGGGATCATAATTCACGACATAGCAAACATTGTTCGGAAACGAATGACTTTGCCAAACCCACAATAACAACTCGGCAAATAGTAAGAACGCTCGTTAAACACGTTTTACATCTGAAAGAATTCATCGAAATGTCACATAATGTCACGTGCTGTGCTACACATAGCATATACAGAAGCCAGGGGTGGAGGTCTGTGCCTTGCTGGTGCGCGGCGCATACCGAATCCCCCTGAAGTAGATGATTACTGCACGCAGTAGCATGCTTATGAAGCGTTAAACCGATAAGACTCGGATACGAAGTGTCTCTAGGACACTGATCCCAGACTGGAAAAAATCTAATCCACGAAAAAATAAATTTAGCTGCAGCATTTCGAACCCCCTTTGTTATCGGCTTTCCATCTCCCCGAGATAAACATGAAAATCTCATAAGTCTCTGTAAACGCCCCCGGTCCGCAAAAACTGTTACGAAAGCTGCAAGATTTCGATGCGATTTTTTTCTACTTCCCCCTTTTCAGGATTAATTTTAGAAATCTTCACCTAAGATTAGTACTATGTACAAGTTCGCGTCCCATAAATACTTTCTCGAAAGCAACCACGTTTCAACGCGCTTTTTTATCGACTTTCTTTTCCTCGGGAAGTATCAAAAATGGGTGCTTCAGAAGTATGCGAACCAAGATGGCGGACATCGGAACGTAACATGGGTAACAGGTTAGGGTTAGGCGATAATGTTTTTCCAATTTCCCTCATTTTAGTCCTATTATCAGTTCGAAGACTAGCCAAGAGCCTCCTGTAGTATTTATACCTAAAATTATGGCCTAACCCTAACCTAGTACACATATTACATTCCGATGTCCGCCATCTTGGTTCGCATACTTCGGGAGCCCCCAAAAATGCTATGTTATCAGGCCATCTTATCACATTTCCACTCCCCCCAATGAATAAAAAAATGCTATTCTACCTAGACATAATCCGGTGTGTGCGCGACAAATACTTTCTCGAAAGCCGCGACTTCTACAAACGACAGATTTGTTTGCTGAAGACTCCTCGAAATATTTGGATTGTGAGTTCATAATAGGAATGGAATTCAACCACGCCCGATGAGTTTTAGTTTACATTT